CCATGGCCTGTATTTTTTATTTTTTTATTTATTTTTTAAAAAAATTTTACTTATTTATTTGAGAGAGAGAATGAGATAGAGAGAGAGAGCATGAGATGGGGGAGGGTCAGAGGGAGAAGCAGACTCCCCGCTGAGCAGGGAGCCCGATGCGGGACTCGATCCTGGGACTCCAGGATCATGACCTGAGCCAAAGGCAGTTGCTTAACCAACTGAGTCACCCAGGTGCCATTAGCAGTGAACGCTGTACCTTGTATACATGGGTGTCCTTTCGATGATTACTCTGTTGACTTTCCAAGCTGGCCAATAATTCCAAGTCCTTCTTTCACCTGGGACATGACCACAGGGGAGTCCTGTAGTCATGGTTGTAAAACCAGGTCAGGTTGTCAAATGGCCACTCCCACAATAGTGTATAGAATGATTCTTAAATATAAAGGGGTGAGGGGGAGATAAAGGGAGGGAGGTAGTCCCAGGGAAACAGTGTATCTGGCTACTCTCTAGTCAGTTTGGTTCACTGATGTATCTCAAGTGCCCAGCCCAGTGCTGGATACATAGCAGGCACTGCACAAATATTCTTCAAATAAATTAGAAATATTGAAAATGAAAAACAGGGATAGATTATGCTATGCAAAACTATGCTTTATGAGCTATAATCCATCTAAGACAACAAGAAATGCAAAAAGAAGAGCCCTGCATTTGTGTTTGAGAATAGCTTTGAATACATCATCCCAAATCCCAGGCTCCATCCTTGAAAATATTAAGTGAAAAGGAAGTTATTTTTCTCTGTGTTGTATATTTTAAGCCCTCTGTATCTAAACACCTTACTGATTAGAGCTTCAAAATTTGGTAATTAAACAGTTCAGAAATGTTAAAGTAAGTATTTGAGAACCTGTGTTGGTGATTCCTTAGACTTACTCCCTAAAGAAACAAAATTCTAAGAACCAATAATATTTGTGTAGGAGAACCACAGCTCTTCAGGGAACCACAGTTTGTTTTTTATGGTTTATGCTTTATATGGTTAATGCTTACAATTAATCGCACACAAAGGGGAAGTCAAAATGTGCTCACTTAGGTGTCTGCATGACCAAGGGCCTGAGACAAGGTTACCCTAGGGCATGTTGCATCATGATTATCTGCTGAAACCCTATGCTTAGCACATTTCTCACTTCCCTTCCTTTGTCAGGATTTGTTCATATCTCTTTGCAAAATTTTCTCAGAATTAATCTTCTCATTTGTTCCCATAACAAAGTAAACCTTTTTCTGAAACATGCATCATTGCATGAGCAATAATACCAGAGGGTAAAGGAAACACAAGCAGCATATAAACTCAGTTGTGCAAAAAAGGCAACTTTATTTTTCGTATATCAGCTTAATTTCTAATTTGAGCCCTCATTTCTCCAGGAAGGGGGGAAATGGTCCATTCTATCTGGAGACCAAGGCACAATGGAAGGGATGGGGGATGGAGGACTCAGGCCTTGACATTGATCCTCCTGGGGATTCTCTGAGTCAGCTTCACACCTGACCTTTGATCTTCAGCCAATGGCTCCTTGGGGGTGGGGAGTCTTCGTGAACACATCTAAGCCCTGACTGCTGGAAGCCTCCAAGCAGCCACATCCTCCCTGGGGTCCCGCTACCTCCCTGGGTCTTCCAAGGAAGCAGAGTAGCATCCCAGGCTGCTTTCACAGACTCAGGCCACCTGGGGTTTCTGCAGCCTCCCCAGAATAGCAGGCTCCAGGCTCCTGGCTGCAAGACCAGTGACATCGCTATTCCCCCCACAACTGTTATGTCATCTTCTCATTCCTGCACCAGGCTCCTCAGCCCCTTTTGGCCCTTACTCTTCATGCTTCTCCCAAATGTCAGCAGTCCCAAACCAGGAAGGCTCACGTCTTAGAGATTCTAAGCACAAGTGCTAGAGCGGCTCCTCAAGGCAGATGGGGAAAAAGTAAACTCCCAGGAGAACATTAAAATACTGACTAACATTTCAAAACATAATCCCCAACCCAAAGTTCACATCTTAAGAATGCTTTTAACATATCCTAGTATCTCTCCAGGCATAACTTTTTTGAGCTTTGCCAGCTTGTGGAGTGAATAGGACAGAGAGTTTCAGTCTTATTTTGCAGAAGTCGAAATTGAGGCACTGATTCTCCAGTCTCAGCATATTCCACACCAGGCATAGTAAGACCGTCAGTGATTTGATGGACAGGAAGAGACGGTTGTTAAATATTTCTGGCTTTTCGGGAACTCCCACTGGACCACACCTAATGAGTCAAACTACCGTATTAATGAGCAAATCAAATATGACAGGACCTGAAAGTGCCAGGAACACTCACTTGCTTCAAGATAAGCCAAATATATTCAGGTACCAAGTGAATGGTCACAGTCACGGCCAATTACAGAGATGGTAATTCAGTCAGCCGTGCCGTCTACAGATTCTAAGGGCATTCAGTAGTATAATAAATCTAGGCTCTCAGTCATCTTACTAAATATTTAAAACAGCAGAGTCTAGGTAGTCACCTTGGTTGACAGACTCATACATTAAATATACTGAGTGGAATGTACTTAAATACGCTTATTGAACATAAACCTCGGCTCACTTTTCACACAGCCAATCTCCAGAGCGCAAGTGACCTGATGTGGGGCCACTTTGGACTTCTGACATTTCCCTGGATTTCAAAACTGATTAGAAGTAGGTCAAAAGGCCAGGGGATAGTACGAACAAACCAAGCAGGTAGGGTAAATAGGTCAGCTGAGGTGCAGTCAGAATTCAGGCTTACAAAACAGATCCCAGATTCCCTCTTTTGTTTCAGAAGAGGGAAAACAACATGCAGAGATCTGAAAACCTCTTCAGCCCCTTCCTTATGTGACCTTGAGCAAGCTACGTACCTTCTCTAAGCCTCGGTTTCCTCATCTGTCAAATGGGAAGAAGATTACAACCTGCCCACAGAGCTGGTGAGCAGATTGAATGAGGGAATGCACATCAAGCGCCCAGCCAGAGCCCTCAGGAAATGCTCATTGTGGTTTTGATGAATCCAAAAATGGTATGCCAACACAATAATCTCTACCTTGAAACACAGTGACTGTTAACCTATGTTTATCTATGTGACCTATGTTTATCTTTCTGTGGTGGCTACCAGAATGGGGCTCAGAGACCTCCAACTTCAAGGAGCATAAGTGACCAAGGGTCCCAGATATCCTTGCTTCGCGTGTGCGAGGCCACGCCTCCAGGGTGTGCTCCCACCAATGACTCAGAGAGCATGCGGACACCTCTGACAGTTGACTGGCTCCAGAACATTCCGCTGGCCTTGCTGGTTCTTCCTAGGACCGCAGGGCAGCCTGGGACACCCCCTTCCCATTCTTCCCTCCCTCACTGGGGCTCAGACTTGCCTCACAGTCTGATGCTCTCCCAGGCTAACTTGGTTCCTTCTCTGTTTTCTCTCCCTCAGGAATTTGCCCTGATAAAAATCTTTGCACGTTTAATCATGTCATAGCATCTGCTTCCCCGAAGACCCGGACTAACACACTTTCCCAAGGTTCTCTTCCGGCAATGCGCAACTTAGACTTGTCCTGGGAGGTCTGGACAGTATGTATGTTCAGCTCTTCCTAAGCACCGTTTTATCATAGTGCCCACCAGGGAGCAGTGGTTGGGAACCGGAATAACACAAGTCTTTGTTGGCAAGGCTGGCAATTCTGGCAACAGACTGTTTCTAATAGATTCTTTTTTTTAATAGTATTTTTTTTAAGATTTTATTTATTTATTTGACAGAGAGAGAGCTAGAGCAGGAACACAAGCGGGGGAGTGGGAGAGGGAGAGGCAGGCTTCACGCTGAGCAAGGAGCCTGATGCGGGGGTTCGATCCCAGGACCCTGAGATCATGACCTGAGCCGAAGGCAGACGCTTAATGACTGAGCCGCCCAGGCGCCCCTCTAATACATTCTAGTAGATTAATACTCCCCTTTATTGAAGAAGAAAAAGCTTCTGACATCCTAAAATACCACGTGTTTGCCTTGGCCAAGGCTTAAACACACACATACACACACACCATCACCACCACCAAAGCTGAGGTGACCATGCAAAGATCAGTCTGTACTGCAGATTAACACAGACTGCTTTGTTTTATGTAAACAAGGCAACTTGGCTCTGTGAGTTATCCCTTCATTTCCCACACACATACCTTCTCTTTTCTCCCTACTCCACCCCACCTTCCTTTAAAAAGGTAATTCAAACAAGAGGCCTGACAGAAAAGCTCCCGGCACCTAATCAGCCCAAAGAGCCAACTCAGGACTTGCTGATTCTTAGGAACCTGTCTCTACAGATGAGCAGTAGGGTGCTTTTGACGGGGCAAACTGGGGATGGGTCTGAGGAGTCAAGAAACCCGAATCTCTGAGTCTTTGAAAAATAACTGAAAGAACAGGAGGCACCTGGGATCTCTTTCGGAGGTCTGGGATCAGGGTGGGGCAGTGCCAAGGACTGACGAGGAGGACGGGACAGCTGAAGTAAAAGCGTGCTGCTCCCTTCAGATGCTTATGGTGGAACGCATTCCAGGTGAGAAATAACAATAATGACATAGCAAGTAAACGTCTAACAAAAGTTTGCCAACACGTGCTTCCACACACAGACATCCTCCGAGTATCGGAGCATCTCGAGTGGGTTGATACGACAATGCCGCGCTCTGGGATTCGCAGATCCGGAAGCGGGCCGCCGAGTGGATGCGTGACGGGCCGTAGGTGCCACCTCGGACTGCCCAGAGGAGCTCAGCCCAGCCGCGGGGCCTCGGCCCCCCACTTCGCCCCTGCCGGGCGCCGAGGGAGCGCAGACGCCGGCCGCCCGGGGGTCCCGCGCGCGCCCCGCCCCCCGCCTCGGCGGCCGCAGAGCCCGGGGCGGGGCGGGCCCTCCCCTCCCTCCGCCCCCCTTGCCGGGGGGCTGGAGCCCCCGCCGCGCCGCGCCCAGGGGCGGACCGCAAAGTTTCCTCCCACTCAAAAGCGGCGGCGCGAGGCACAGGGCCCGCTCCGCCCCTGCCCTGCCTCCAGCGCTTGGGCCGCTAGTCCCGCTCGCCGCGCTGCCGGCCGCCGCCGCCGCCGCCGCCGCCATGGCCAAGCCCCTGACGGACCAGGAGAAGAGGCGGCAGATCAGCATCCGCGGCATCGTGGGCGTGGAGAACGTGGCCGAGATCAAGAAGGGCTTCAACCGGCACCTGCACTTCACGCTGGTCAAGGACCGCAACGTGGCCACCCCCCGCGACTACTTCTTCGCGCTGGCGCACACGGTGCGCGACCACCTGGTGGGGCGCTGGATCCGCACGCAGCAGTACTACTACGAGAAGTGCCCCAAGGTACCGGCCGGGCGGGAGGTGGCCCCGAAGTCCGGGCTGGACGTGTCGGGGCGGGGGGGGGGTGGGCCGCCCAGGGGACGGCACTGCACCACTCCGCCAACCCCAGCCCCACCCGAGCCGCCGAGCTCGGGGCTCCTGCGGCCGCCTGGAGAGCGGACGCCAGGCCTCCCTCGTCTGTCCGCTTCTTTCACAAACTTTGGAGCAGCTACATCAGCATTTAATAGGTATTGGGCGCCTCCTGTGTGTATGCCGGGCACAGTTCTAGGCCGGTCGGCCCCGAGCAAAACCGACGAAATCCCTGCTTTGGCTGAGTTTAATGTTTAAGGAAGGGAGACAAACACAGACGCCGTCAAATGGTATTAAGATCAGGGACTCGGGGGCGGGGGGTGGAGAGGAGGCAGAAAAGAAGAGTCGAAGGAAGGTGCCTCACTGCCCCTAGATCCTTTGGAGGGGCTGGCCTGGGGGTTGCGTGGATGACCCCGGCTTCTCGTGGGGTCCGAGGTGAGGTGAAGAGAGAGGGGCAGAGGCCCCGCCCCACAGTCAGAGCTCCGCCCAGTCACTCCCAAGAGTTCCGTTGAGTAGGGTGTGGAGCTGGGGCACTTCCTTGTTTCCTGCGGGAGGGAGGCCGAGGGCCAGGACAGACTCTGACTCTAAGACCTACCCCAGAAGCTGCTGAGGAAGGCTGTGCACTGACCACCCCTCTCCACTACGCAGGGGCTGGAACGCAAGGTTCCTTAGGGAGCTTTTGGGCACACAGAGGGACACTATTTCCACCTGGCCAATCTGGGAAGGTGGGGGTGGGGGGGATTTGGAAAGGACCTGGCAGGGAGTAGTATTGCGTTGTGCAGAACGAGGTGGGTGTGAGTATGTACTGAGAGAGGAAACTGGAAAAACTGGCTGGGGGCATATTAGGAAAGGTGAAAGATATATCCAGAAGGCAGTGGAAAATGCATATAAACATCTATTAGGAATATTTTTACTATGTAAAAACATGGGGGGGAAAAAGACTAGTCCAAAGAACCCATGAGCAAAAGAAAGTAAATTCTTGTAGTAAGAAACTGTGGCTATTACAAAGCTTTCAAATGCTTTTGCACGCCAGAGGCCTAGGCCTCTACCCAAAGGTAGCAACTGCTAAAATATAATCTTAGAAAACACTTGGTGTATACTTATATTTACTGTATCTTTTTTATTTGTATAGAAGGGACTGCACCTCCCATTAAAAATAATTTAAGTTTTTAAACTGGAGAATGAGATGATGAGCCATATTTTAGAATGACACACACACACACACACACACACACACACACACACACACACACACACACACACACACACACACACACACCCCATAGCCTTTAGCACCTTGTGTGTTTCTCCTCCCTTGGCATATCTGGTATTTTATTGTTCTCCTGTCCTCTGGCAAGTTTCTCATTGGACAGCACTTTCCTACCTGAGTTCAGGTATAAACCAGGTATTTGATGGTGATAGGATGGGGATACCACAGCGAACAAGATTCATCCCGCGTCTTAATTATCTCGGCTGTGACGGTTGTTCCCCTGAACAGAAGGTCCCTGCCCTCATTAGAACACAGAGTGGAGCCAGTGTGTCCAAGCTCTCCTCCCATCTCCCCTGCTGTCTGGTAACTGTACAGATGAATCCCAGATTTGGGATTCCTTTTCAGACTCCATTCCTACATGTCTGAGTACTCAGTGAACATACCTAGATCTCTTCCTATTTCCTCAAACTCATATCATCATCCCTCTGAATCCTGGCTTATCTTCTGTTTGTAATTTTAATGGCATTGCCATCCTGACAGTCACCCAGACACAAAACTTGAGTCTCACCTTTGATTTCCTCCTGTATCCCCCATTCAGCAGGCTGCCAAATTCTGTTGATTCCTGTGGGTTCTCTTGAAATTACCCACTCTCCTGCATTCTCTGTTTTCTGCGCTGGAGGCCCAGGCTGCTGGTGTAGGAAGTAGACCTCTACCTGGTTACCTTGCTCCCCACAGGTGATAAAGCTGGGAGCGTGCAGCTGAATATGGCTAGCTCTTGTGTTTCATTTTGGCCAGCAAAACACCTTTAAGCAGTTAAATTTTCAGTGCCCTCAAGCAGGACACATACATCCCAGTTCAGGGCTCAGGACTCCTTCTCCTCGTTGTTTCATGTGACTCCCATTACACATTTATTTTCTCTGCCTGGCTCCTGAAGGCATTTGGATATGCAATCCCATCTCATTCTGTGTGTTGTAGTCCAATTAAGCTTCCCAAAGCAACACATCTTGCCCTGTGTTTAGATATCATGGCACCCACTGCCTGTCACGGTCATGCATTTAAGGCCCTTCTCAGCCAGGTGAACCTATGCCTCCTATCCATCCTATCTCCCATTACCCTCCTGGGCTCACCTTGCTCTCCCACCAAACTGATCTGCTGTCCCTGTCCAGGTCCATGTCCTGTCCCACTTCTGGGCCTCTGCCCACAATGCACCTGTCACTTGGGATGCCCTCCCCCACCTCCATGTGTCTCCATGCTCAACTCTTGCCTGTCCTGCACCCGTTCATAGGTCTTCCCAGAAGTACCTGGGGCCTCTGATTGACACTAGGACTAAAAATAACTTTATTTTTAAATGCTGGTTATTGTTATGTCTTCTTTATCTTTATAGGCCTTTTGAAAATGTCCACTTTATGTAAAATATACATAAAATATCAGTAATAGTGCATGCACATAATTTATAAGGTGTATTGGAGATGTTCAAAAATTTTACTACTAGGAGTATGTTTTAAGTGTTTAGAGACTGCTAACTAAGAGGATGGGGTAGACCAATTTTTCAAGGTCTTGTATATCCCCAAATTTGAGGTAAGGTTTCCCCCCAAAAAATTATTTAAGTGAAAATAGGAAATCACCTTAAATGCATGTACTTGTAAAATCTGTCATGTAATGAGGGGCTTTTTCAATTATTTTAAGCAACAACATTTTTTTAGGAAGATCTTGAATTGTCCTAAAATGTCTGAAGTCCATGCTAATTTGGAATCATTAGAAGGGAAGCAAAGAGGGGCACCTGGGTGGCTCAGTCATTTAAGTGTCCCACTCTTGATTTCTGCTCAGGTCGTGATCTCAGAGTCCTGAGGTCGAGCCCCACCCCCACCCTTGATGTGGGGCTCGGTGCTCAGCGGGGAGTCTGCTTGTCCCTCTCCCCATCCCAACCCTCCCCCCCCTTGCTGGCTCTCTCTCTCCCCCTCTCTTAAATAAATAAATAAATAAATAAAATCTTTTTTAAAAAAGGAAAACAAATTTAACGCATGTCGTCATCCAGGGTGTGAACTCACAATTGCAAGTGTTGCATATATATACTGTATTTACAAACAAGCTTTTTATGGATCACTAAAACATAAAAAGCAGTATATGGTGGTTTTATTATCGAGATCATGAATACACAAAGAATGGAAAAAACTGCCCTGATGTTATGCAAATGTGGCTTGTGGCTTTCCTGTATTGCAGCAGCCTTGTATACAAGGGTACATCCATTGGGGGGAGTGGGGCCATGCACCTCTTTGGCTTGTTTCTGCCTCAGAAAAGATACCTTTTCCTGACTCAGACAGAGGCAGCTAATAAGCTGATGAGGGCCCTAATGACAGCATTAGAGATATTCAAACACCTTGGATAAAAATAATGAGGATATGCTCTGGAAAATCATGTTATATGACCCACATATAATCATGTTATATGACCACTATGTTGACAATCCATGGGAACACTTAGAATTCAGTTGTTTCATAAGATGAAAGTGGGAAAAAGTGAAATTTCTAAGTTGACATTTTCATATAATATTTTAAATATATATGTGTAACTAATGAGTTAAATATTATAATAAGCATTTTTGATATTGAGCTATATTCTTTTTATATTTTCGGGTTGACCAAATACTTTTCTTTGGGTTCTCACTATTGGGTAATGAAGGAATCCCTAAAATTTGAAGTTATATTTTTTTAAATTTAATTTTATTGTTAGTCACCATACAGTACATCATTAGTTTTTGATGTAGTGATCCACGATTCATTGTTTTCGTATAACGCCCAGTGCTCCATGCAATATGTGCCCTCCTTAATACCCATCACCAGGCTAACCCGTCCCCCACCCCCCTCCCCTCTAAAACCCTGTTTGTTTCTCAGAGTCCATAGTCTCTCATGGTTCATCTCCCCCTCCAATTTCCCCCCTTCATTCTTCCCTTCCTACTATCTTCTTCTTTTTTTTTTTTAACATATAATGTATTATTTGTTTCAGTGGTACAGATCTGATGTGACTTTATATTGATGCATTTATAGATATTTGTTGTTTCATGTTTGGCGGAAAAGAAAAGGGGAAGCGGTATGGAAAGTAAGGTATTGTAAAAGAGGATGATGAAGTTACTCACTGATCTTCCTTATTTTTTTTTTAAGTTAGTAAACTTAGCTTGTATTTTGAAAGGTTTTAGGCAACTCTAACCTTGGCACCTTTCACTTTCATCTCAAATAGTATTTACCTGGCTTTATGTCAAAGGCGAACAGTTGCTGAGTTGATAGAGAAATTTCCCATTTCATCAAGAACAAACACCAATAAACCTGAGGTAGTCTTTTGTTATTGCCAGACCACAGCGTTTCTAGAATCGTTTTATTCTAAAATAATTAACTGTACTATTACTTGCAGTAATCAGACACACTGGCTATGTTCTAGCCACTGTATGTATCTTGAAGGAGTTAATCTTTACGTTTTCTAGATGAGTTGAGATGATCACAGTCAAACCCACCTGACTCTCATCATATAAATATGTTACAAATGAGTGATGAGCTATGGCAGTCTGACTTCTGTTTGTCCAAACATATGCTTCATTCATGAGGCTCCTGAACGGGAAGGAAAACACACAAAACATTGAATCTAATTAGTTGGATGAGTTTGCTTTTTTCTCCCTGGGCATAAAAACTACTTTGCCAAAAATAGGGTATAAAATGGTTTTTCTCAAAGCCATTTGTCCGTATTGCTTGTATTTAGCCTTTCATCCATCTTTAGGAGTCTGATTTGAACCTTAGTCTCGCCTGTTTGTTTCTTATTGGTGACCTCTTGTGTTTTTATGTTAACGAGGAACACTGGCCTTACAGCATTAACATGACCTCTCTTTGTTTCAGAGGGTTTATTACCTCTCTTTGGAATTTTACATGGGCCGAACATTACAGAACACCATGATCAACCTTGGCCTGCAAAATGCCTGTGACGAGGCCATTTACCAGGTACGTTGTCTCCGTATTTCTTTTATTCTCTCCCCTTAAATTTCAAGTTCAGGAACCTTGGGAATGTAGCACCAAAAAAAAAAAAAAAAAAGGGAAAAATAGCTTCTATAGCTATGGTTATTATAATTAGAAATACAAACTAGTGGAGATCTCTGGTTTAAGAGAGACAAAGTTAGAGAACTGGTTTTGCCTCATGAGAATTTTCTTCTGCAATCAGTTTTTGACAGCATTCCCCAGCAAAGTACATGTTAGGAATTAGTATCTAAACAAGCCTTTTAAAGGTACCTGAGCCCCTGCTATCAGAATCACAAGTTCTACTTTGAGCTCCTATCTACTTTTGTTTTTTTTTTTTAAAGAACTTATTTTTAAGTAATCTCTACACCCAACGTGGGGCTCAAACTCACAACCCCTAGATCAAGAGTCACACACTGCACCAACTGAGCCAGCCAAGCCCCCCCTCCTCTCTAGTTTTAAAAATGATCAAAGTTTGACTGTTATTCATGTATCAAGGCAACATGCATAAATAATAAGTTTTTTAAATTACATTGACATACTTTCTTTACTGCTTAATGAGATGTAAAATACACTTCCTCCTTAAATGAGGAACTTGAGGTCTTAAACTTAATATGCTAATTTGTTTTTATGGAACAGAATGTATTTCTCCCCTGAGCTTCAGGGATCTCCATGCCAAAAAACAAATAGTTCTTAATCCTTTTCATGTGACAGAAAGGGGGCATGTGTATTTGCAAAGACACATTCTAAATGAGAGACCGTCCAAACTGCTCCTTTTCCTTGGCATGGGATTGTCCTGTGTGACCAGCTACTGTGGCCAAGGGCTGGTTTCCTTCATGACGGTTAGGGGTTAGATATTTTCTATGAAAGAATCATTGCAGCTCCCCTCTGTTTCCCTTTTCTTTGCCTCCCCTGGCCTAGCATCTAACCAGGTGGGTGAAGTAACCTATGTCAACCTCCTCAAGGTTTACAGCCTACTTGAGACGTCCATGTTTAGAATTGAAAAAATCCTGAGTGTTAGCATTAGCAATGAAGGGTTTCCAAAGTGGCCTCTTCTTTACTTTACTGTTATTTGTTCACAGCTACTCAATTTACATATTGGTGTGATATTACCTAAGTTGCTTCACCATTGTGTTGTTGGCTTGCACAAGGACCCCGGTAAACTCTAGTGACCGGGGAGCACATTTGAAAGCCCCTCCAAAAATAAGCAGAGGCGAAGCTATTTTTGAACTCTCAGGAGATTTAGTTATCAAGACTTGTGTGGAAAAGCCATTTTGGTGTAAGGGTGGGGGATCCAAGAAGGTGGCTCATGGAAACTGGGGCATCAACTTCAAGCGTGGTTCTAATTTACATATATGTTTGTAAATGTGTGAATTATCTTCCCATTTTAAATAATGTCTAATTTAATGGATTGCCTCACTTTCAGATAAGAATACCATCATTTTCACAACAAACCATTGTTAGCCATCCATGGGCTAGATTACTATCAAGTCAACATAGGAGAGGTCATTTAATTTATCTAGCCATCAGTTTTCTCATTGTAAGATGAGCAGCCCAAAGGGATCTCCAGGACCGCACAGCCCTGACATGAGTCCACGCTGGTGCTAACCAGTCTCTAACTGTGTGAGCCAAACACTCGGGGGCAGAGAGCTGGCTGGCCACCAATTCCATCCATCACCACCAGAGATGTTCATTGGCCTCCCATAGTCTCTTACCTGCCTCAGAAAGAAGTAGAGGAGTTTTTGCCCTCGTCCAGCTGGCCCTCAGGGCTGTTTCCCCGGACTGCAGTCTGGTCCCAGGTCTCATGGGCAGTGACTCAGTAACTGGTTTTGGGTTAACAACTATTGACCCTAGTGAGTAAATATGTTGTGGTCCTGAAAAGATGGACTTTAGTCTATCCCAGAAAGTCTGACCTCATACTTTTTGATAGTGTTCAAAATCCTTCAGCCCCGTTAGTGTCAGCATGATGCTGGACCATTCCTGAGGTTTTACCCCTACAGCACAAAATAATAATAATAATTTTAAGAAATAGTAATAGCTGACATTTATTGAGAAATATCTGTTCAGGGTAATTCTAAATGCTTTGTTTGTATAAGCTCGTTTAATTCATAACAGCCCTAAATCAGGCAGATCCTCATTTTTTTAAATAAGAGAGGAGAAGCATAGAGAGAATTATGTTGCCCAGAGTCAGAGAGCTAAAAAGGAACAGAGCCAGTAATGGCCCTTTGGAACCCACACTCCTTCCCACGCTGCTGCTGGGCCATCCCCCACGCTGCTGCTGGGCCATCTCGTATGGTTTGCATATGCAGTCACCAGCCTTTGCAGGGGCCCTCTGCTGGCAGAACACTCTGTGAAGGAGCTGACAGAATTGAGCACACAGAATACCCTGGATGCCTGACCGAGGGACTAAGGAAATGACTGTGCTTCCTGAAATGGCCTGCATTTGTGCCTGCATCCAATGTTGCTTTCCTTTCATCTCCAGCTTGGACTGGATATGGAAGAGCTGGAAGAAATGGAGGAGGATGCCGGGCTTGGCAATGGGGGTCTTGGGAGGCTTGCCGGTAAGTGACATCATTAGTGTGTTATGTGTTGTCTGACCGGTAGACGGCTTCCCAGATGCCGTGCGTGACCATGCTTGGGAGAGCCAGACAAGCTCTCCAGGAGGAGTGCAAGATGTGACCTGGCTTACAGATGTCTTTGTCTTTGGGTTTGCACTGTGGTTTGATCAGGTCTACACAAAGAGCAGAGAAGGGAACTTGAACCAAAGAGACGTTGCTTAAAACCCTTGGAGACATTGCTTAAAACCCCAAAGTGAATCGGCTCCTTCCTGTGCACTTCAGGGTTTCCAGAGGGGCCCCTTTCCTTCACTGTTATTTGTCTACAGCTGCTCGCTTCACATACTTGTGAGGTGTGACCTGAGTTGTTTCGCCTTTGTGTTGTTGTCTTGTCTGCTTTCTTATTTACCGGTAGGCAATGATCCACTTATTATATTATCGGTATGATTTGGTTCATTAATATCTTTTTTTGTATGAATACAATTCCAGTGCTTTATCCAGGAAGTGATTTTTCCAACAAATGTAAAGGAAAACATTAAAAAGATAATACCAACTCCATTAAATTAAAAATATGCTTCCCTGTGACCAAGCAATTCTACTTCCTGATATTTACCCTAAAGATACACTCAACATGTGCACAAGGAGGCATGTTAAAAAATTATTACAGTATTGTCTGTTAAGGCAAAATATTAGAAATAACCAAATGTCCCTTGATCTGAGAATAGGTAAATAAGTACCAGAACATGTATGCTGCAGAAAAATATGCAGTAAAAGAATAAAAACAATAAAATTGCTCTATGTACTTTTATATAGACCTCTAAGAGGGAAGAAAAAAAAAGGCAAGTGGCATTAAAAACAACACAGTGTGATACTGTTTATGTTTTTTAAAGACTAATTATTTTCTGTAAGTATATGTGTAAATCCGTAGGGGAAAAAGTCTGGAATTTGAAATACTAAAGTGCTCCCTCTGATCTTCCCTAGAGAGGAGTGCAAAGTTGGGGGTGCTTACCCTCTCTGTGATGTGGTAATGGTTTTACAATGAGGATGTATGACTTGTGAAGTTTATTTTTTATTTCAGTTCCAGTATAATGAACATACAGTGTACTTGTGAAATTTAAATTGAATAATAAAAATGTACCACCATACATGTCTTTATCAGATTGCACTCTATGAAAAATAATCTGTTTCTTTTTCAAAAATGATTCCAATATCTCTTAATTTTACACACACTTTCAAGTTACTGGAAATCCATTTGTGTGTGTTTCATGGTATTTAATCCTTACACTAGTGGCAGTGTGCATTAACATTGCTATCAGTATTAGAGATACTTACTACCTTGTAAAGAAAACCATTGGGCAATTTAGTAGGCTTTCCACGAGGCTGTAAGAAGACTAGCAGAACCAGTGGCATACACATCTAAGAATGACAACCAGCCTGCCTTTCATTTCTGTAAAGCCCCAGGCCTATTTGTTGGCTGGCTTAACCCCACTGTGATATTAATGACCCTGCTCCTTCAGTTGGCTGAGAAGTGCAAAGAGTGAAGTGGTGAACGAGGCTGAGTGATTCTCATGAGGTAGCCTCATCTCTGACTGAAAAGGTTGAGACACCATTCTGGTCAGGCTCTAAGAATAATTTGATCAAGACCCAGGAAAGGACAAATGGCCACAGCTCTGAGAGAGCAGGAACTGGAGCAGAGTCAGGCCTCATGAGCATCGGGACTGGAAGACCACTGTGAGGTTCCAGTAACTTGAAGGCATTGGCCACTGGCCTTTGTGGATTCTCTGTTTCAGAGCCCCACCATGAACCTAACTTAGCCCATTTGTGTTTGGTCTACAAATGTTCTTTTCGGTTTTAGATCCTATTATACATTTCCTCATTCTCTGTATATTTCTCAGTTCAGATACCTTAGAGGGACAATCAGATTGGTGTAACCCCTCAGATAGCATCTGGCCACAACATAGATCCCTGCCCGGCTTTTTTAATTTTTTTTTTAAGATTTTATCTGTTTGAGAGGGAGAGAGAGTGAGTGAGAGAGAAGAAAGAGAAGGAGCAGGCAGAGGGAGAGGGAGAAGCAGACTCCCCGCTGATCAGGGAGCCTGATGCGGGGCTCAATCCCAGGACCCTGGGATCATGACCTGAGCCAAAGGCAGATGCCTAACCATCTGAGCAACCCAGGCACCCCTTCCCAGCCTTTTGATTGGCTGCTCTGGATCAGGGGCTCTGTCATTAATGCTCTTGGCTACAAGTAACAGAAAATCTAGCAAAAATTGGTTCAACCGACAAGGACGTGTGTTATCACTGACTAAACAAGGACTCCAGAATTTCAGCCATTCCAAGATTAGTTTATTCAACAGCATGACTCTGTCAGGACTCTGGGTCTGTGTGGTTCTTTTGGCTTTCCTCCCATGGAAAAAAAGATGGCAGGAGCAAGGAAATCTTTCACTGTACCTAGCAGACTTCCTAGCACCTCTCATTAGATCGTAGGTCATTGCGTGCCCATGCCAAAACCAATCACTGGTGAAGGAAATGGAATTACTATGATTGGCTTAGAAGCTTAGACCAAAGCAAGATTCGTTTCCTGGCCCAGCCTCCCTGAAGCATATGGCCCCCTGATATCCGAACAACATTGGAATTCTCTTGGCCAGAAAGAGTCTGCCACAGATGTCCAGCTAGTTGGTTAGGTGGTCACATGTAAATTATCCTCTCCTGGGGCCATCTTTCAAGCAGGGGGCGATAGAGACAGCTTCCCTTAGAAAGGGCAGTGTGAGTGACAGACACAGTAATGGGTATATCTAAGGCAGGCCAGCTTCCTTATCTGTTCTCAAATGAAATGCCAGCATGTACACAGTGTTACTCCTAGATGGCAAGGTAGTAAATGCTGTTTATTTTCTTCTGTATTCATTTTTGTATTTTCTGGCTTTTCTATAATACTCATTTTATAATTTTAAAATGTTATTTTAAAATAATACCCACTGCACAGCTGTCTCTGCTTCAAAATACAAATGTGGTTTTTCAGACAAAAAAAATGTTTTGTGGCTGCCATCTTTTTTAAAAGATGAAATTTGGACTAACCTTGATGACTCTGCCTTTGCTTTAATTTAGCCTGCTTCTTGGATTCCATGGCAACCCTGGGACTTGCAGCCTATGGATATGGCATCCGATACGAATACGGAATCTTCAATCAGAAGATCCGAGATGGATGGCAGGTATGTGAGCCATCTTTCAAAATTTTGTTATTAAAATACTTCTCCTTCATAGTATGCTGGGTGATTTATAATTTACAGACATTTACCATAGAGCTTTTCTAATATCTCTGGCATTTAATTGCCATCACTGAAAACTATCAGTCTTCCCCCTTTGGGAAGTGAGTTCCCTAAGAGCAGAGAGCCTGCCAGTATCATTCAGCACCAGATCCATAAGCACCTCACATAGTGCCTGACTCATGGGAATACTCTGAAAATATTCACCACTGACCCTCCTGACGGTGGACTACCTCCAACGTGTGACATCTGTTCTCTGCAGCACGCACAATGGAGGAGCACATCTTTTAACTGATGATGCCCCGCTGTAACTCTTGATAGTAGGAAGCATGCTGCTATTTTATAGGCGGGAAAACTGAGACTCTTGAGAAGTGGAGTTACTTCGGATCACACTGCTGGCAAACATGGGTCTATATCCCCAGATTTCCAGGCCCATGTTCAGTATTCTTGCCTCCACTCAGTCCTGCCCTCCTTAATATCCTTATCTTACAAGACATGTAAATTCACTGTTCTCATTTTTTTATAAGATGCAAGCAGGCAGTCTTGTGACGATTATGTCAAATAAATCTGGCACATATTTAATATGTATAATTATAGTGTTCCACAGAAATTTGCACGATAGTAATCAGACCACACAAATAACTCTCATGTGATTTTTATATAACCAAACTGGATTCTTAGGTATTCGTTTCTTTTTTTTTTTTTATGTTATGTTAATCACCATACATTACATCATTAGTTTTTGTTTTTTTTTTTAAAGATTTTATTTATTTATTTGAGAGAGAGAGAATGAGAGATAGAACGAGAGGGAAGAGGGTCAGAGGGAGAAGCAGACTCCCTGCTGAGCAGGAAGCCCGATGTGGGACTCGATCCCGGGACTCCAGGATCCTGACCTGAGCCGAAGGCAGTCGCTTAACCAACTGAGCCACCCAGGCGCCCTACATCATTAGTTTTTGATGCAATGTTCCATGATTCATTATTTGCGTTTAACACCCGGTGCTCCACGCAGAACGTGCCCTCTTTAATACCCATCACCAGGCTAACCCATCCCCCCACCCCCTCCCCTCTAGAACCCTCAGTTTGTTTTTCGGAGTCCATAGTCTCTCATGGTTCGTCTCCTCCTCCGATTTCCCACCCTTCATTCTTATCTTTGGTCATTCTTTGAGCCTACAATCAGCCCTAGTGGGGATAGTCTTCCCTGATGCTATGTGTGATTTAGACTTTCTCTCTCCCTGTCTTTTTCCCCTACATACACATCATTGACAAAATTATACTGGATTCGATTTCCAAAAAACCCACGTTCTCTGAGCCCCTCCCACGCTTCCATGAGTCAGTCTGAGAGGGCAGAGTGCTCAGGATTGGTTGAGGGGACCTAGGCTGGAGCTAATCCCAAGGGAGAGGAAGGATGAGAATAAGCTCAGTGTCAACACCATTCTCCTTCCCCTCCCTCAGTATTTTGACACTCTCTGAGCCAGGGAAGAAGGAACTAAAAGGTTTGATGTGATAAGAGAATGTTTCAAGGAAAAAGTCTCAGAAGGAGAATACTGGGTGCATATTGAAAGACAAACTTCCAAATTTTGTTAAGGACCAGTGGATCTTAGGTATCCCTAAATAAATTAGAAGGCAGCATTGTGTAGAGAAAAAACATGTAGGCCTTGATTGAGATCTGATTTCTAATTTGAGGCCTAATTGCAACTCTTTACCCCTATGAGGTGTGTTGTTTTGATTAGGTTATCTGACCTCTCTGAACCTCAGTTTTCCCATCTGCACAATGGAGATACCAGCTTCATGAAACCATTGTGAATATTTGTAAAATGTCTGGCACACAGGTAGGCACTCAGTAAAATGTTAATTTTGCCTAAGAGGATAATTTAATAAATAGTGGTATTATTTAATATTGATATAGTTATTAATATTATATTTTTTATTAATTTTAGTGAAATGGGAAATTGTTTATGTTAGTTGAGAAAAGGAGGTATGGAATCATATGGATGGTATGACCTATCCAAAAGAAGCCAAAAAGATAAAGAAAAAGTAGTAGGAAAAAAATACATCAAAGCTTCAAAAATCATTATCTCTGGGAGATAGGATTACAGGTGACTTTTACTGTCTTATATTTGCTCTTCCACATGACTCATATTCCATAAGATATGTGTATGTTATAATCATAGAAGTTATAAAAACAAAATAATGGGTTCCCTTCCTCAATGAAGTAACCTAGAGTTTCACTGTGAGAAACCTAGGTTAGCAGGCATTTCCAGGACGACCAACATTTTGACACCATCGGACCAAGCAATACATGGTATCCATTCCCAGTCTTTGAAAGTATCCTGTGTGGTACTCATTATACCCCCAACTGTTTAAGGATTTCCTTTCTTATCTCTTTAGTGTTCTGTGAAAAATTTAAAAGAAATTCAGCAAATTCATCTCAAAAAATTTTTTTTCAAGTGCATTTTCCCCAGAATTTAATGAAAGTTCACTCTTTTAAAATCATACCTGCTCTCTTTGCTACTGTTCAGCAGCCTTTATTCCAGGAAACCGTCCCTTTGTCTCCTATCAGACCCAGGAAGTATATTTTTCTAGTGATCGTAAAAAAGAGAAACTACATGACTTTTGCTTGCCTCCAAAGCTGACCTCACTGGCCATCATCACTACTCTCACTATGACTTGAAACTGAGTCAGAAAAACTCATCATTTTCTTTACCATATCCATTGTTTACTGGGATGGGATTTTAACATCATACCATTAAAAAAGAAACTATTTCCATAAAAAACAAAGTTTTATCTTCCAGGAAAGCAGCATGCCTCTTGGGGGAAGGGCATGCCCCACACACATCAGATACCTCATTGCTGAAGAAAATGGCACAAGCTGGGAAGATTTTTTTTTTTTTTTTTAAGTAGGCTCCACACCCAACGTGGGGCTTGAACTCATGACCCCAAGGTCAAGAGTTGCCCTTTCCACCAACTGAGCCAGCCAGGCACCCCCAAGCTGGGAAGATTTATAAAGGCTAATGGACCTGTAGGTTTTGAAGTCTCTCTTCAAGGAAGATATACAATAATAAAGTGTTCATTGTAAACCCCCTCAGGAAAATAATTTATTGCCAAAATTCTTTACTTAACAAAATTCTTGAACTCTAATGAGGATCGTTGAAACTTTATCAGTAATAGTGTTCTATGAAAATAACTGGCCCCTGGGAAGAAGGACAGAAAGACAATTGCGACAGCCCTGCATTAAAGTTTAATCGTCACATGTGTCTCAGAGTTGAATCAAACAGTATCTACTGGAACCCTTCTCTCTCTTAGAACCTGTGCCAAGCCCTCTGTAACCAGTCATGCACAACTCACGTTGTCCAGCAAGCCTCTTGTTACCGCTGTTGAATTCGTGGGGCTCCCCAGATACGGTTTTCAGTTATTTGTAGCATCAGAAAGCAATGTTGAAACCAACATTCTTTTGAGTGTTGGTTTTATTTTATTTTGACTCGCAAGTTTTTGGTGTCCCGTGTATTCCACAGTTGACGGTAAAAGCGTTTCTTAGAATTCAGTCACTCACAGAGCTCCCTGAGCTGATCTCTGCTTCTGTGCTGGCTGGAGGACGGATGCCATTGAGTAATTCCTCTAGGAGGGTCCCCCCTCGCCTGACTGGCACCCGGCTCCTCACTCCACAGACCCACGCTTGCTTTGTCTCAGTTCTCTTTCATCTGGGACGTTCAGACCCAGCAGCCCACTTGGACATAAATGAAAGCTCTTCTCCCACCTTGCCTCCACCCTTCACACAGCTCAGCATGTTAGTGCCTTCAGGGATCACTGGCTACACGGAAATCTAAATTTACGGACCAGTTTGTTGATTCATTGGAAGAAAGCAAGGTAGAGAAGACGTTTATCACCATCCCACAGCTTCTGTGGATTTAGTGAGGGTGGTGGGGGCAATTCTCTTTTCTCCTCTGATCTGCTGGGACCAGCTTGTGGTGATGAAATGTTTTTCAATTTACCTGAAAATCAAGCTTTGTGAAATTGAGGGAATTACTGTCTGATTCCTTGCCAAATCAGGAAGAGACTCAAAATAAAGAACGGCAAGCTAGGAGTTCTGTCTTCCTACCGAACTTGTTACTCCAGTCAGGTCGAAATCAGCCATTATTTGGCAGGGAAAAATTAGAGCAACATTTAATAGCATTAGGAGTAATCTGCTGACTGGTGCCTTGTCACTTTGCATACCCTCAAAAGAGCAAATGCAACCTCTGACTTGCGTAGGAGTGGGCCGGTGGTGGCAAGCCCAGAGTTCAACAGAAAAATACCTATTTGTCAGCTCTCCTGTACACATGGTTTTTGAGAGGAAAGCTATTTCTGCCTCCATGTCCCATTTCGTGTCATATCTTCAGGTGTGTTTTACAATAGTCCCGAGTGCTGAAATGAGGTGTCTTCCTATTACAGGAAGCAATGTTCACAAGTGACCAGTATTTGAAAACCCCCACCTGCCCTTGCCTAAGAGCAGCAGAAAATGTTTTGTAAGTCAGGATGTTTTGATCCTCTGTGGATATTCTCATTTATTTGTGTGGAGTTTCTAGTTATTAACACAAGCTAGTGGACTCTGACTTCGCTAAAGCTTAACAGCTGAATTTCATTAGCTGTTCTAATGAAATTCAGCCTTTTCCGTGTTTGGTTTGTATTTTATTTTTTGTTCTCTGACTAGATTAGCAGAAGCCTAAATTTTGAGTTGCATTTACTGACTTCATATCACCATGTGTAGTCCCTGGGGACTTGTTAAAAGTGCAGAATTTGAGGGGCGCCTGGGTGGCTCAGTCATTAAGCATTTGCCTTTGGCTCAGGTCATGATCCCAGGGTCCTGGGATCGAGCCCCGCATCTGGCTCCGCATAGGGCTCCCTGCTTGGCGGGAAGCCTGCTTCTCCCTCTCCCGCTCCCCCCGCTTGTGTTCCCTCTCTCGCTGTGTCTCTCTCTCTCTATCAAATAAATAAATAAAATCTTTTAAAAAAATGCAGAATTTCAGACCTCTCCCCAGACTGCCTGAGAATCTGCATTTTAACAAGGTTGGATCAGCTGAGTAGCTCAAACTTGGCTCCAGCCTCCACTAGGCTTTACCCTGCCCCTGATGCATCCTCCTGCCTCTGCATCTCTCTAACTCCCGGATCTACTATTTACAGGTGTTGTTTCTATGAGTCCCCTTTTCATTCACCACTATGCTGGTACTTAGTGTTATTGGGTAGCTCACTGGCTTTCTTGACATAAAGTCATGATCAATGTTTGAATAAATGCATGTGTATTTCCTTGTCTGTCTGTTGACATCAGTGTTTTGTCTGATATCTCAAAAGATAGTAGCTGTGTTTCCTTGTCTCCACACTATGCCTGGGGCAGGCACTGAATTCATATTTAGGTGGTGGTCATGAAACATCCAGCAGTGTGTCATAATTCATAAACAAATTCTTCTTAAACTAAAGCTAACTTTTCTAAGAGGGGAAGGTGAGAAATCAAATAAGTAAAATAACCAGATTTGGGGTAATCTCTTTGACGAGAGTACTTTGTCCTAAAAGCCCTTACCCCTCCTTTCTTGTCAAAACACAATTGCATTTTTTAATATAGGTGTAATATTTTAAAGCTTTCACTAATAATGTCTTTACTTTACTTTAAAAATACATCCCCCCTCTCCAATGTGTTTTTTGTTGGTTTTGTTTTGGCATGTTTGTTTATTGCAAACCAAAATCCATTTGATGTCCAGAATACCCTAAATACAAATTATGATCTTAAAATTTTTTATAAGAAACATGTGGTTATAAATTAATATAAGTACATGGGGAAATGTTGAAATTGTCAATAAAATAAATTCCTTACATCTTAGTGCATATTATTTTCAACATGAACCATAATTAATAGTTCATTATCAGATCAAAATTACTAAAGGGATTAAATTAAACAAAGACTACAAAATGTAATAGTGTCTTGCATCTATACTGACATCAGCTTTATTAAGAGAGCTTTTGGGGCACTTGGGTGGCTCAGTCAGTTGAGCCAGGGTCCTGGGCTGGAGCCCCACGTCAGGCTCCCTGCTAAGTGGGAAGCCTACTTCTCCCTCTCCCGCTCCCTTGCTTGTGCTCTCAGTCTCTCTCTCTTTCTCTCTCTCAAATAAATGAATAAAATCTTTTTAAAAAGAGAGAGCTTTCTATGAGTGGTATTTCTTAACTGGTCTGTGCATTCTAGGCGAAAGAATCTTGACAGAAACCATCATGTAGGAGCCTTCAGGTCCAGGTACCCAACTATAAACATCCCTGGATGGCCTCTCTCTGTCCCTCAAGCTGGACAATTGTATTCACAGATGTTAAGACACAGACACCCAGAATCCAACCATAGAACCCACACACCTAAGGTCAAAATTCAGCGGTGCCATTTAAACTATCTATGTGACTTTGAGCAAGTTACAATTTCCTCATCTTTAAAAAGGGAAAAATCATAGTTCCATCCTACAGCGTTATGCTATGAGAATTAAATGCAGTAATATGTATTGACAGGTATGATTGTTGTTGATTTAGGTTGTAATACTCTAACAAAGGTGAACTGAGTTTGACAGAATCAATAATCTTTGTTACCAAAACAGTATTCTTGCATTGATTTAGTCAAAGATATTTTGATTCGAGGGGCGCCTGGGTGGCTCAGTCATTAAGCATCTGCCTTTGGCTCAGGTCGTGATCCCAGGTTCCTGGAATGGAGCCCCGCATTGGGCTCCCTGCTCGGCGGGGGGCCTGCTTCTCCCTTTCCCTCTCCCCCTGCTTGTGTTCCTGCTCTCACTATCTCCCTCTGTCAAATAAAGAAATAAAATCTTTAAAAAAAATATTTTGATTTGATATAATTTGATTTGAGATAATGGAAGGTCCACATCTCCTGAAAAATAAATTCTCAGCCGTGTCCTTTTTGTAGATAGAAGAGGCAGATGATTGGCTCAGACATGGAAACCCCTGGGAGAAGGCCCGGCCTGAGTTCATGCTGCCTGTGCACTTCTATGGAAAAGTAGAGCACACCAACACTGGGACCAAATGGATCGACACCCAGGTATTCAGAGTGTCCTCATGCTGAGCATTTTGTATAGCACAGTGAATACTTAGCATAGAGGATGATGTGTATGTGATATTGAGGGTAGTATATTATGTATTGAATAATAGAGTATGTTTTTATCAATAAATCTGTTCCTTCTCTTAGTGAACCCACTCTTTGGGAACAAGGGAGCTGAGACCAAGAGACAAGTGACTTCCCCAAGGTCAAGTGACTTATCAGTCATTTTGCAATCAGCTTTTTCAGAGATTAATCAATTCTGTAATTCTAGTATGCTTAGCTCTCCAGTTTTATATAAAGTTTTTGATACCAAGATTAAATAAATTTAAATGTCCTTTCTTACCTCACTGCCATAGATACATTTACTTGGGACTTACCAGGGGTAAATATTTTAAAGCTAAAGTATTTATTGAAAGGATTGCCAAAAATTGTATTCATTGCAAAGTCAAGAAAAATAATACAAAATATTGCAAACTGTATTTTTATTTTGTGCAAAATCACTTCTAGAGAAATCTTGCTGGTGTCAATCCAAGTGGACTTAATTCATGGCTAGGTATTTATCCTGCCACTAGATTTGAGCATTACCTTGTAGCTGACCAGTTCACTTCTAAGCACCCCCAGTGATGCTTTGTGCTCTGCTGTCTTCTTACTTCCTGATTAATAACTCCTATTAATTACTAGACTGCATTGTCCAATCTTTGGAGGCTCTACTTGAGATATTTGCTTAATAAATATGATCTCAGGCTGGGAAGGATATGTCACTGGCCAGTCTTTAAAAGCTTAAAGGAAATGGTAAAGAGCAAGTTAATACTTTTAGTTGGCAAAATTGTGACTGAAATTCAGTACTGTAATGCTAAACTCAGTTGGTTTGTGGATTATTCCCCATGAATAAATGCTTTATTTTAGAAGAATCAAGACCCATTTTATAGTTGACTTTTTAAACTGATAATTTATTCTGCTAATCCATGTAGAGCTCTTCACAGTTCAGAAAAATAAGACTATTTAAAAATGATTTTTCTATCTGAGGATGAATTTATTCAACATGGGAAATAGATTAGAAGCTAAAATAGGTCATGATAGTATAATAGTATAAGGAATAAATTAATACTATAATTTCAAGATAAGTTTCTCTTTCTGTTTTTCTAAATTTGGTTAAACAACAGAACACAATCTGACTTTTCCTTCAGACACCTGTTCCCTGCTAAGGTTTCTCTCCCAATGCCTGCACCCAAAACCACACATCTAGTTCTTACTCTCCTACTTGGCCAGACCCCTATCTGTGCTTCGTTTGTGTCTCTGAGCGTGAGACACAGTTCTCTTACTTGCATTCAGCAGAGTCCCGATCTTCTTCTCTTCTTCTCTTCTTCCGCCTCTTGGATGAGCTTTTCTGCCAGGGTCTTGTCCTCTGATTCCACGCACACGTCAGCTTCTCACAGGTACTCCAGGTAGTCGACGTCCCACTGCGCACGTTTGACTCTCAGGGCCAGGTTAGTCCGGTGCTCTTATATTCACTTGTGTAGGTCTGGCATCTTCCCAGCATAGCAGGTATGTTTTTTGAGAACTCTCGGAAATCTTGAATGTATGCCCTCCTTGCTTGGGTACATTGTTCCAGTCCTTGCTTCAGTCAGAAAATAAATGCTCAAATTATTGCACGTTATTTAAATTAGCCAAGTAATATAAATACCTATCATTCACTGAAGATTTTTAAAATATAAATCATCATAAGGGGAAAAATAAAAATCACCTGTAATCCCTTAGTTCAAAGTACCACTGATTTGTTAGTGTATCAGTTTTTAAAAGTTTTCCCATGCATTTCATCATACATATATAAATATATATTTTAAAATGTGATTTTACTATACTGTTTTGTAACATTTTCACTTGCTAACACACTGTGAACAATTTCAATACTAATTAATAGATAGCTATACGATGATTTTAATGATACAGAATTCCATTGCATTGATATCCTATTATTCTATTAGACTCTTTTTGATGGACATGTATGGACTTCTCAACAATGCTGAAAAAAAATCTTTGTATTAAAAAAAACACAATCTGAGTTGCAGTTGGTTACAAATACAGTTAGGAGAGCTAGCTGCAAACAAATCAATCATTAATATGCCCAAAGAATTCACACATGTATTTGGCATTAAACTAGTGAGTATTTTGGTGTAGGTTTTAGTGTCTAAAACTTCCAGTGACTTCTGAGCTATTTAAATGTATGCAGTGTACACAGTCAATCCTGGAAATATTCTGTTTACACTAGGTCCCACTGTTGAGCTACCTTGTATTTACAGAGCACCTCTAGACATTTTCATAATATATCCAGAAATTCAGTTAGAGACAGTATATCTTTCTGTGCCCACAAAGGCAATGTTATGGGGCAGATGGAATACAAAGTGAGCTGCCCCAAGCCATGCATCACTTCATGGATTTCTGGAAGCCATTGCCCAAGTCAGGCCCAGGTCTGTAGCTGGTGAGGTCAGAGAGCATGAGGACAGGCATGGTGTGCACATGCTGTGGGCAGCTTCCAATAAACTGAGCAATCCATTTCACTTGTGTGTCAGCTCGGGTCCTCTGGGGAACAGACACCAGAGAGAATTAGAAGTGCAAGTGCCGTAGAGGGGCAGTGCCTGTGAATGACAGAAGGGAGTGGGGAGAGGAGGAGGCATGGCACCTATGAAGAGAAAGGGGGAAAGAAAGAGCATCCTCAGTAAGAGCCTCAGTGGGCCTTACAGCTCAGAGCAAGCAGCCAGGCTGATGGGGCCCGAGGTTAAAGATTGCTCATGAGACCAGTCCTAGCTCTCAAGATCCCACCACAATGGGAGCATCCCTAATAAAGCAAACCTCAGCTCGGCTGGGCTTGAGCTCCCAGGTGGTTAGTCGTGCCTGAAGTTCTCCAAAGAGACGTCTGAGCTTTGTGCCTCCCCAGCTGCCTCAATTACACTTCAAGGGTCAGAAGGACAAATCACGTTTGAACCCAGACTCACTCCCACTCTGTAAACACCTTTTCCTGGGATGGATCACAATGTGCTTTAAAAATCTCCAGAGACTTTTATTTTCTAGTAAAAGTATTTAAAGAAGGGTGATTTATTACTTCGAGGTCATGGTATTCATGGAAGCATGACTGAATATATGTGATTGACTGATACAGGCTATAATGCTTCATTCATTCATAATTCAGCAGACCACATTAAAGAGATTTGTGTAGGTTTCAACCCTACCACTGACTGTGACTGTGGGTAAGTCACTTCTCTCTCAGCCTCATTCCTCTCACATCCAAAATGATTGGATTGCACGAAATGATCTCTAGCATCCTCCAGTAAAATCAGTCTGTCATTCCCCTTCCTTCGAGCTTGACTGATGAGGCAGGGAATAGAAGTGAGTCTTTTCCCACATAAATTTTAAATTCACATGCAACGCAGTTATCTTCCTGTTCTCTGTCTCAATGACTGTCAGAGACTGAGTTAGATTTTCCAAAGCTCACCTCTTACACCCATCTCAGGTAATTATCAGCTGATTTGTCAGACCACTAAAATAACTCTTCTTCATGCAACTTTGAAAAATCTCGCATAGCATTTTCAATATCATCTATAATCTATCTTCATATATTTCCATTCCATTAATTTTGATCCGTATTTGAAATCAGATCACTGAATTACCTACACTAAACTTACCCTGATTATTATTTTGTAATCCTTTGCTGTGTCCCGGCGCACCGTTCAGCCTACGTCACCACACATGGGAAACTAAGCAGCTGCTTCGGTTTAACCCCACAGGTGGTCCTGGCCCTGCCATATGACACCCCAGTGCCTGGGTATATGAATAACACCGTCAACACCATGCGCCTCTGGTCCGCGCGGGCGCCAAATGACTTTAACCTCAGAGACTGTGAGTACAGCCTGGGCTCTCATGAATGTGCGTGTGTGTTTAATCTTTTTGATCTGAGAGGCAACCAGATCAGCACCAGCTCTAAAAGAGGGCACAAAACAAGGATCTTGGGGACTGGGACATAAATGGTTTCTGTGTGTGTCAGTGTGTGTGCGCGTAATCTTTCTGATCGCTAGTTAGTATCGCCAGTTGAGAGAAAAGCTTTGAGTTTCTGATCAGAACTCTCCAGTGAGCAGCCATTTTATGGAGCATGTGCAGAGGACATTTTAAAAGCAGTCCTGCAGTCTGGCCCTCTTAGACTCTCTTGCGAATCACAGCATGGAGGGTTGTGGAAATCCTTTCGGATTTTCAGGAGTTGTAGGAATCCCTACATCCACATGGTACACAGCAAGCATCAGGTGAGGTCAAGGGGCTTCGATAACAGTGGCTGGCTTATCTATTTATTCATTTTTCTAACCTTCCCCTCAGTTAACGTTGGAGACTACATTCAGGCTGTGCTGGACCGAAATCTGGCTGAGAACATCTCCCGGGTCCTCTATCCCAATGATAATGTGAGTGGTCGAGCTTGCTTTCTCAGGGGAAACAGAAGCAGTCTACTTCAGAAGCACTTTTCCATAGCCCATAAAGCACATCTTCAGTATTGATTTTTTTTCTTAAATGCACTATAATCTCCATATCTCTTCCTGAATTGTCTAGATTTCCCCTGCCACCCAAGTAAGGAAAACAAATTTGTACAATACATGAAGTCAGAATTGGTATTTTGCCCTTGACTAGTGACCTCACAACCAATAAGGAGGTTATGTCTGTACATTTCAAAGCAAAACCTGGATATAAAAGATGAAGTGAAGCACTGGTAAAATACTACTTCCTTTCCAAATGGAAGTTTCTTCCACAGAGTCAGAAGACCCTGGAGGTTTCCTGCCTGGCCTCTTACCCTCGCTGACAGACTCTTCCCAGCCTTCTACACTCAGGCGAGGTGGGGTCTGGACCTCAGAGCAGACCCAGGAGCAAAAACTTGTTTCTTAGGCCACTTATTCATCTCTTGAAATTTTTTCTCATAGGTGATTATTCCCAATTTTACACTAAAATAGCTTAGCTAAAATTAAAAAAAAAAAATTAACTTGGAACTGCATCACAGATGACCACTGTGGATTCCTAGTTGGTTTAAATATACTTAGCTCTAACTTATATGTGGGTAAAATTATTTTCTTGAAGCTGTAATGATTACTCTTTTAATAATAAGTCTCACAAACAACCAGATTGGTACTCTGTTGTTTGCTACAGCATTTTCAGAAACTTAATGGTATATGTGATTTTTTCCTTTGAGAGAGACATTGTGACTTCAGTACATGTCAGAAAAATCTCTGACCCAAAAGCAAAAAGTCATTTTGTTTCGTGGTAAGTTAAAGTAAGAATCCCTCCAAGCACTGCCTAGCCAAACCCAGCCTGCAGAATTATTTAACTGAAAGGGGCTTGAAATTAATCCTATCTTCAGTAAGGACCAAACCTAACTTTACTTGGAAATAACCATCTACGGCAATTCATAGGGGATACAAAGTTAGCATGGGGTGCAAAGTTAACTAAATTCATTGAGTAAAAGGTAGCTGTCAGGGTCATGCCTGTTTTTAAGTACGAGTTGATAAATCATTTTTGTCCTGTAATTACAAAAGCAAACTCATTCACTCTCGCCAACTTGGCCATAGCCCTCCTCCAGATGTGAGTCCCTCTTCCAGGAATCTTGTAACTGTCGTCCCTCTGCAGCTATTTTTTTCTTTGCTTGAAGCTCTTTAAAGTCTTCTGATCATCTATAAGAAAAGTGCAGAATCTCAGATGTGCTCCTTAAGTTCCTCAGTGGTACGGTCATGAGTTCTCAGATGCATCCTCCATGATCTTGCCTGAGGTCCCCACCGTGCCAGACTGTTTGCTCTAATCTTTCTCACCTTCGAGGGAAGGCTCTTGCAGCTTCCTTCCTGGCAGAATTGATATCCACTGCCTGGGTTCTGAAATTTGGTTGGGAGAAGAAGGCTGAGAGTCTCAACAATTCAGCACATAAACTTTCACTTAAACCCCTTCCCCCCATTTTCAGTACAGAATGGTGCCCCTGCTTTTGACTCTCCGTGCCTCTCTCCAGCCCAGAGGCCCCTGTGTTACCATCTCCAGAGAATATACATCGGGCGTCTGCCTGCGTTGGGGAAGGAGATTGCTCAGCTGGGGAGGACTGGGGGTGAAGTCTGAGGCCAGCTGCTGCTTAGGCTCACAGCTGACCTTTTACCATATCTTCTCTCCTACTTCCAAGGGCACCAGTGCTGCCAAGTCCTGAGCCTTCAGGGGCTTTGGGGCATAAATTTAATTGCTTTTTGGCTCTTCTATTCAGTTTTCCTGGGTCTTCTGGCCCAATTACCACTCACCCATCTATTTTTCAGCTTCAAAAAGGTTGTTGCTATTGTCTTGTCTCCCATTCCCTTCATCCTTTAAATCCCTTTACACTTCAGGAAAGAGCAAAGCCTGATGCTTGGCCTTCAGCCTGCCCTCTTCCTCCGGATGTCCTATGAGCTTTCGTCTTAAAGTTCTCTGGGCAGGAGATCCCTGGCATATTTTGGCCACGCCTCACAGTGTGAGCCACTCTCACTCCGTCTCTCTGGCTTGAAGTTTTTTGAAGGGAAGGAGCTGAGATTGAAGCAGGAGTACTTTGTGGTGGCTGCTACCTTGCAAGATGTCATCCGACGTTTCAAAGCCTCCAAGTTTGGCTCCACGGATAGTGCCAAAACTGCGTTCGATGCCTTTCCAGACCAGGCAAGTATTCTGTCTTTGAACACGGACAGAGACAATGAGGGATCAGGACTTCCTATCAGATTTACTCCCCTTTCTCAGTGCTAAAAAAGTTGAGTAGGTGCGGTAGGCTTAAAGCGCCTCACTGAGGGTGGGCATTCTGTTTGGTGCTTTGTGCAGACGTACATGAGGGTAAGGAAGCCAGACTTCAGGCCATCCATCACCCGCACGCTGATGCCTTTTCCCCATACAGGTTGCCATCCAGCTGAATGACACACACCCCGCACTTGCCATCCCTGAGCTGATGAGGATTTTTGTGGATATTGAAAAACTGCCCTGGTCCAAGGTCTGGATAGTTTGGCTTCCTTTTCCTTTAATTAAATAGTATATCTGTGGTTCAGAGATTTTGCCAAAAGCTCCTTTTACAGTTTTTCAAAATAAATTACTGTTGCTCACTTCCAATGGTTAAAGGTGAAGTCTGCCTGGTGCTAACATTTCTCTGTCCTTACAGCTTTACAGGGAGGAAGACTAATAAATAAATACATTCCTAATGGGACACAGCTCAGTAGCTCAGACTTACACTGTGATTGCCATTTTTGGGTCGAAAAGGATTCTAAATTAAATTCTCCAACCTCAGAACACAGCTAATTGTGTGTCTCCACCAGTTTGCAAATCAGTATTTTAAACGTACTCTGTACTTTTCGCAGAACATTACTTGTTTGTGTTGCTCAGATTTTGCTTTTAATAAACGGCATGTTAGGATAGTAGAGAAGACTTATCAGTGTGTTGTCTTCAGTTTTCTCAGACAGTTTTACAAATGGCTGCTTCCCCCCGCCTCCGACCCCAGAAAAAAACCATATTCCCATTCGCTGGATGATTTGGACCCTGGTGGAATTGAGTGTGTCTAACTGTATGGACTATGTCTAACTGTGTCTGTCTAACTGTTGCAGACCGGCAGGAGCTGAGGGAATGTTTGGTCTTGTGTGATGGGGTATGCACCCGCAGGGCAGCCTTCTTGCAGAGGGAAGCAACTAACTCCTCTCCCCTTCCCTCAGGCCTGGGAGATCACCCAGAAGACCTTTGCATACACCAACCACACGGTGCTCCCAGAGGCTCTGGAGCGCTGGCCCGTAGAGCTGGTGGAAAAGTTGCTTCCTCGACATTTGCAAATCATTTATGAGATAAATCAGAAGCATTTAGATGTAAGTCATTTTGAGGGATTCATACCCCTTTTGAGAATGAGGTCTTGAGATGTTAAGGGTGGCTGGAATGTTCCCTCTCACCAAACTGGAGGCCCAAACGTCTTTCAGTCATAGATACATCAAAAGTATTCAAGACTGGGTGGGGCTCTGTTAAAGACACTTTTTTGAAAACACTAAAATGGAGGATGGCATCTCCCCAGGGCAAACCCAGCCCCTCTCTGTGGTAGTGAAGTTCCATATTTGCTCCATTAGAGATTTTGCTGGGGAAGTGAATAACATTGTCTTAACGTTGCTTTAAACCTGAGTGGCCAGCAAGGCCTTTCTCTTCCCTTGGCTAGAGAATTGCGGCCTTGTTTCCTAAAGATGTCGACCGTCTGAGAAGAATGTCTCTGATTGAAGAGGAAGGAGGCAAAAGGATCAACATGGCCCATCTCTGCATTGTGGGCTCCCATGCTGTGAATGGCGTGGCTAAAATTCACTCAGACATTGTGAAGACCCAAGTGTGAGTCTCCATTCCTGCGGTGGTGGGTTCAATGTTGCTGTATTAATGCACTGATGCTAGTAAATGCAGGGATGCATTTTGGGATGAAGAAAGGCCCTGTCAAAATGTGCAAAAGTATTTTCTTCTGTACAAAGTAACTTCTTTTCAAAAAGAAAATGCCTTCCTCTCTGAACCATCCTACTTCTAGATGTAGGAGCCAAAAAAAAGAAACCAACCTATTCTACTGAAAATCTGGTATATATATCAGTGCCAGGAACTCATATGGAGGTGACTTGATTTGGAATTTTTCTTATAATTATGTTGAATTGCAAATGGATCTCGATTTAGAATGACAGCAGTAGTGCTGCCAGCGCCCCCCCCCCCCACCGCCACCTTTAATCTCTCTAAGCCTACCCTTGGCTTCTGGAATGTAAAAGGAACCTGCTCTTTCAAATTCAGCGATGTGTCTCTTCCGACTCCAGATTCAAGGACTTCAGTGAGCTAGAACCAGACAAATTTCAGAATAAAACCAATGGGATCACTCCGAGGCGCTGGCTCTTACTCTGCAACCCAGGGCTGGCAGAGTTAATAGCGGAGGTAAGGGGGAAGTCAGGGGAGGCCTGGCTGCAAGGCTACAGGTGGACGAGTGTCCTTATAATTCGAGAATCCAGTCCAGCCCTCAGCCGGTGACATGTGCTGTCCCACAAGGCTCCATGCTTGATTGAATTCTCTGCTCTAGCCTGCTTGAAATTCTTAATTTTTTAAACAAGGGGTCCACAGATTCCATAGCTGGCTGCCAGTACTCCTGTGGCCCACAGATGGAAGATGGTGGCCCTATTTAGTAAGCGAAGGTGATAAAAATAACTAGTAGAACCTGGGTTCTGCGTTACCCCTTATAGGTAGGTCTTCTGTTTTTAAGCACTTACTGCCGCTGAAACTACAGTTAAGATACTAGCAGAGGGTTCTTCCCAGCCAGCATTTCCAGGCTCTTCTGTGAGTGTAGCCGTTCCGTGTGAGGTGCGCTAGTCAGCTGTCCTGTTGTAGGCGCCCGCCACAGACTGACAGAAACTGCGCATGTGGGCTGGACTGCCGTCCCTGACTAACATAACCTCTTCTTTAAACTGGAAGAAAATCGGGGAAGACTACGTGAAAGACTTAAGCCAGCTGACGAAGCTGCGGGGCTTCCTGGACGATGACGTGTTCCTCCGAGAAATCGCCAACGTGAAGCAGGTGAGGCTTCCCAGTGTGGATTCCTTCGGCGGCACTAGTTCTGAGGGTTTATGAAGCTCCCCCACCCCACCCCACCCCACCCCCAATTTTAAAAAACAGACTAGCTGCTGATGCTTCCGAGTCAAAAGGGCCCCGGCATGGCGCACTGTCTCCACAGGAGAACAAGCTCAAGTTTTCTCAGTTCCTGGAGAAGGAGTACAAAGTGAAGATCAACCCCTCCTCCATGTTCGATGTGCACGTGAAGCGCATCCACGAGTACAAGCGGCAGCTCCTGAACTGCCTGCACGTGGTCACCATGTACAACCGTGAGTCACCCCGCAGCCACCGCACCCCCTGGAGGCGGGAGCCTCGCCAGCCCAGCCCGCACCCGCCCTCCATTCCACCCACTCCTAAATCTTTTTCAGGCATTAAGAAAGACCCCAGGAAGTTATTCGTGCCCAGAACAGTCATAATCGGTGGCAAAGTAAGCTGATTGTATTCACTGGGGATGCGGGGGCCCAGATCTCTTGCCATTTCTCCACTTCATCATGGCTGCCTGCCAACCGTTTGTTTGCCTTCTTCCCCAAGGCTGCCCCGGGATATCACATGGCCAAAATGATCATAAAGCTCATCACCTCGGTGGCAAATGTGGTGAACAATGACCCTGTGGTTGGAAACAAGTTGAAAGTCATCTTCTTGGAGAACTACAGAGTGTCTCTTGCTGAAAAAGGTAGTATCCTCATCCCAAATCAGGCAGGGCCAGGGCAAATTCTTGGAAAAGGTTACATGGTAGGGAAAAATGAGGTAGTTGGGTTCTGGGGGTCAGTAACTTAGAATAGAAAGTGTCACTCTTGGGCAAAATTAGGGCCTAGGCTAAGAGTCGTGGAGATGATCCAGCTGACAATGAGATTGCTGTCCCGGGAGTCAGTATCACCAGTTACCTTTGCAAGTGCATTTTCCTGCCAGCTAGCTAGCCAGAGTTGGGTGCTGCAGGAGGTGGCCCTGAAGTTTGGGCAAAGCACAGACCGGGCTCTACAAAGGAAAGGAAAAGAAAGGGTCTTCCATTCCCAGCTCCAGTTTTGCAACAGAACACCAATTCCCCAGCCCCCGATATTCCTCTGGTCACTTCGTGGAATGAAGAAGGGCTGTCATTTGTTCACATGGCAGCAGGGAATGAGGACAGATGTCAGGCTGCCAATCATGAGGCTTAGATGTGCTTAGACTGATCCTGCACGGAGTTCCCACATGGGGGCAGTTAGACTGGCAAAAAGCCAACATCCCTTTCTCTATTGCTCTCTTTGCTTATTTGCATCATGTGCTTACAAAGCACCATCCACATGCAGATGCCAACCGTCCATTCACCCCAGTCCCAAATTGAAAACAGACCTTTCTCTTTTTGAGGTATTTTTGGGTCCTCTGATGTTACTCTTTAAGACTGTGCGCAGAAAGAGAAGAGCCATGTTCCTACCGACGCAAATGAAGAGATATCTAATCCACAAATAAGCCTTCAAAGTAAAACGAGAATTGGTTCTGACCTTTGAAGTCAAAGAGAGAGAAGGAGGCCTTCCGGCAGCACTAATTTGTGTGTAAATTAGGCTGAAAGGTCAGAGGCTTGGTGTCTAGCCCCAGGCACACCTCAGGTGCACCCAGTGCATTTCTCTGCCATATAAGCGGGAGGGAGGGAGGAGGTGGAAAGTGCAAGGAATGCGGAGGATCCAATTTCCTCAGATTATAAAGGAAGGGTCAGGAGAGACTGAATTTTAAAGCTCAAGAACGAGAAGTTTCAATCTATTTTATAAAGTTATCAAGCAGAAGAAATAAAAACAAAACCATAACAAAAATTGGAAGGAAGAGCAGGAAAAAGAGAAATGTAGTGTCAGCTTTTATAGCAGAGCGTAACAGGTGCTCTCTGGAGTTTACAGACCAAGGAAGAGTAGTATGAGCATATAATTATTTAGCACTGTGGCCATCACCACCCAGATAGCACATCAAAAATGGACAAAAGCAGTTGCCTGACTCAAGGGGAAGAGTGAGAGCCATCCTTCCATACCATAAGAATGTTTACCTTGATGTACATGGACTATTTTAATGTGATCAGAACAGGCCAGCTAGATAAATACTCAGATACAATAGGAGAAGATCTAGAGACAGAATCACTGATTTTAATATACCTTGCTTGCAGTCATTCCAGCTACAGATCTGTCGGAGCAGATCTCCACTGCAGGCACTGAAGCCTCAGGGACAGGCAATATGAAATTCATGCTGAATGGGGCCCTGACCATTGGGACCATGGATGGAGCCAACGTGGAAATGGCAGAGGAAGCTGGGGAAGAGAATCTGTTCATCTTTGGCATGAGAGTAGATGATGTGGCCGCTTTGGACAAGAAAGGGTAAGGGAGCAGCTCCTCCTTATTGGGCAGGTGCTCCACCCCCACCCCCAGGAGGGTGCCTGCCCACCCAGGTATCCCACTGAGTTGGGGTCATGTGAAATGCGGCCACACAACATCTCCCATGCGCCTGGGCAGCCTCCTCACAGCTTAGTTTTATTAAACTGTATTTTAACAGATTGGATTATTTTTCGTATTTACTGTTCTTTGGGTCTTCAGTTATAGGGAACTAATCAAATTTAGGGGGGAAATTTTTCCAGATCTAATCAAATATTATTGATACTCATGTTGAACTCTATAATAATAGCTTCTGTAAATGCTAATGTTTCTGAGTGCATTTTTCACAGCTAATGTAGCATCTAGTGTATTATTTTTGTTTCATTTTTGAATTCTAGTATAGTTAATGTAGTATTACATTAGTTTCAGGTGTACAGTATAGTAATTCAACAATTCAGTACATCACCTGCCCACCCAGGTATCCCATTGAGGCAGGGTCATGTGAAATGTGGCTACAGAACATCTCCCATGCGCCTGGGCAGCCTCCTCACAGCTTAGTTTTATTAAACCCAGCAAGTGAACGTGAAAGGAACTGGGGCACAGGTGCATGAGGTCCTTGCTATTTGTTGTCGGCCAGTGTAGTTGGTTACATTAGTTTCAGGTGTACAATACAGTAATTCAACAATTCAGTACATCACCCTGTACTCATCATGGCAAGTGCACTCCTTAATCCCCATCACCTGTTTAACCCATTCCCTCACCCCCAACCCATCTCCCCTCTGGTAACCATAAGTTTGTTCCCTATAGTTAAGAGTCTGTTTTTTTGGTTATTCTCTTTTTTTCTTCATTTGTTTGTTTTGTTTAAGTTTTATATATAAGTGAAATCATATGGTATTTGTCTTTCTCTGACTCACTTATTTCACTTAGCATTATATTCTCTAGATCCATCCATGTTGCAAAGGGCAAGATTTCATTCTTTTTATGGCTGAGTAATATTCCATTATGTGTGTATACCACTTCTTTATCCATTCAGCTATCAGCAAACACTTGGGCTGCTTCCATAATTTGGCTACTGTAAATAATGCTGCAATAAACATAGGGGTGTATGTATCCCTTTGAGTTAGGGTTTTTGTATTCTTGGGTAAATACCCAGTGGTAGAATTATTGGATCATACGGTAGTTCTATTTTTAATTTTTTGAGGAACCTCCATACTGTTTTCCACAGTGGCTGCACCAGTTTGCATTCCCACCAGCAGTGCACGAGGGTTCCTTTTCTCTGCATCGTCGCCAGCACTTGTTGTTTTATTACATTTTTTATTTTAGCCATTCTGACAGGTGTGAGGTGATATCTCATTGTGGTTTTAATTTGCATTTCCCTGATGATGAGTGATGTTGAGCATCTTTTCATGTTTCTATCAGCCATCTGGATGTCTTCTTTGGAGAAATGTCTCTTCATGTCTTCTTCCCATATTTAATTGGATTATTTGTCTTTTTGGTGTTGAGTTATATAGGTCTTTATATATTTTCAATACTAACTTTCTCAGGTAAGTCATTTGCAGATATCTTCTCCCATCCAGTAGGTTGTCTTTTAGTTTTGTTGATAGTTTCCCCTTCGCTTTGCAGAAGCTTTTTATTTTGATGTAGCCCCAAAAGTTTGTTTTGTTGCCCTTGCCTCAGGAGACATAAACAGAAGAATGTTGCTACAGCACATGTCAGAGAAATGACTGCCTGTGCTCTCTTCTAGGACTTTTATGGTTTCAGGTTCACTTTTAGGTCTTTAATCTATTTTGAGTTTATTTTTGTGTATGGTGTAAGAAAGTGGTCCAGTTTCAGTCTTTTGCTTGTAGCTGGCCAGTTTTCCCAGTACCATTTGTTGAAGAGATTTTTTTTCCCGTTGAATATTCTTGCATCCTTTGTCTAAGATTAATTGGCCAGATAATCGTGATCTATGTATCTGTTTTTGTGCCAGTACCGTACTGTTTTGATTACTGCAGCTATATAATATATCTTGAAATGTGATACCTCCAGTTTTGTTCTTCTTTTTCAAGATTGCTTTGGCTATTCAGAGTCTTTTCTGGTTTCACACAGATTTTAAGATTATTGTTCTAGTTTTGATAGGGTTGCTTTGGATAGTATGGACATTTTAACAGTATTTGTTCTTCAGATCCATGTACATGGAATGTCTTTCCATTTCTTTGTGTCATCTTCAATTTCTTTAATCAGTGTTTTATAAAAGTTTTTGGAGTACAGGTCTTTCACCTCCTTGGTTAAGTTTATTCCTAGGTTTTTTAATTATTTTTGGTGCAATTGTAAATGGAATTCTTAACTTCTTGTTCTGCTTCATTATTAGTATAAAATGCAAATTTATGTATGTTTATTTTTGTATCCCATGATCTTATGAGATTTGTCAGTTCTAGTAGTTTTTTGGTGGAGTCTTTAGCATTTTCTATATGTAGTATGATGTCATCTGGAAATAGTGAAAGTTTTACTTCTTCCTTACCAATTTGGATGCCTTTTGTTTTTGTAGTTGTTGTTGTCTGATTGCTGTGGCTAGAACTTCCAGTATTATGTTGAATAAAAGTGGTGAAAGTGGACATTCTTATCTTGTTCCTGACCTTAGGGGAAGAGCTCTCAGTTTTTCACCATTGAGTATGATGTTAGCTATTAGTTTTTCATATACGGCTTCCATTATGTAGAGGCATGTTCCCTCTAAATCTACTTTGTTGAGTGTTTTTATCATGAATGGATGGTGTACTTTGTCAAATGCTTTTTCTACATCTATTGAAGTGACCATCTGGTTTTTATCCTTTCTCTTATTGATGTGATGTATCACGTTGATTGATTTATGAATATTCAGCCACCCTTGCATCCCAGGAATAAATCCCACTTGATTTCGTGAATGATTTTTTTTAATGTAGTGTTGGACTCATTTTGCTAATATTTTGCTGAGGATTTTTACATCTATGTTCATTAGAGATACTGGCCTGTAGTTCTTTTTTTTTTTTTTGTAGTGTCTTCATCTGGTTTTGGTATCAGGGTAATGCTGGTCTCCTAGAATTAATTTGGAGGCTTTCCTTCCTCTTTTTTAAATGTTTGGTAGAATTTACCTGTGAAGGCATCTGGTCCTGAACTTTTGTTTGTTGGGAGTCTTTTGATTACTCATTCAATTTTATTACTGGTAATTGGTCTGTTCAAACTTTCTATTTCTTTCTGATTCAGTTTTAAGAATTTATATGTTTCTAGGAATTTATCCATTTCTTCTAGGTTGTCCGATTTGTTGCCATATAATTTTTCATAATATTCTCTTATAATCCTTTGTATTTCTGTGGTGTCTATTGTTACTTCTCTTTCATTCATTTCTGATTTTGTTTGAGTCGTCTCTCTTTTTTTTATGAGTCTGAATAAAGGTTTATCAATTTTGTTGATGTTTTCAAAGAACCAACTCCTGGTTTCACTGATCTGTTCTATTGGGGTTTTTTAGTTTCTATATTGTTTATTTCTGCTCTAATCTTGATTATGTCCTTCCTTCTACAGGTTTTGGGTCTTGCTTGTTCTTTTTCTAGCTTCTTTAGGTGTAAGGCTAGGTTGTTTATTTGAGATTTTTCTTGCTTCTTGAGATAGGCCTGTATTACTGTAAACTTCCCTCTTAGAACAGCTTTTGCTGCATCCCAAAGATTTTGGACCACTCTGTTTTCATTTTCATTTGCCTCTGTATTTTTTTATTTTCTCTTTGATTTCTTGGTTGACCCATTCATTGTTTAGTAGCATGTTATTTAACCTCCATGTATTGCTGCTCTTTCTAGATTTTTTTCTTGTGGTTGATTTCTAGTTTCAAAGCATTGTGGTTGGAAAATATGCATGGTATGACTAATCTTTTTGAATTTATTGAGACTTATTTCGTGGCCTAATGTGATCTAGAGAATGTTCCACGTGCACTTGAACAAAATGTGTATTCTGCTGTTTTAGGAGGGAATGTTCTGAATATATCTGTTAGATCCATCTGATCCAATGTTTCACTCAAAGCCACTATTTCCTTGTTGATTTTCTGTGTGGATGATCTATCGATTGATCTAAGTCGGGGGTTATAGTCCCCTACTATTATTGGATTACTATTGATTACTTCCTTTGTTTGTTAACAGCTGCTTTATGTATTTGGTGCTCCCATGTTGAGTGTATAAATATTTAGAATTGTTATATCTTCTCTGGATTGTTCCCTTGATTATATAGCCTCTTTGTCTCTTTTTACAGACTTTGTTTTAAAGTCCGTTTTGTCCAATATCAGTACTGCCACCCTACCTTTCTTTTTACTTCCATTTACATGATAAATGCTTTTCCATCTCTTGACTTTCTTTTTTCTTTTTTAAGATTTTATTTCTTTGAAAAAGAGAGAGAACATGAACGGGGGTGGGGGGAGGTGGAGAGGGAGAAGCAGGCTCCCCACTGAGCAGGGAGCTGGACGTGGGGCTTGATCCCAGGACCCTGAGACCATGACCTGAGCCCAAGGCAAACACTTAAGTGACTGAACCACCCAGGCACCTCTCCATTTCACTTTCAATCTGTATGTGTCTTTATGTCCAAAGTATGTCTCTTGTAGGTAGCATATAGATAAGTCTTACTTTTTTATCCATTCCATTACCCTATGTCTTTTGATTTGAACATTTACATGCAAAATAATTATTGATAGGTATGTACATACTGCCATTTTGCTACTTGCTTTATGGTTGTTTTTATAGTTCTCTGTTCCTTGTTCTCTTCTCTCATGGTTTGCTGGCTTTCTTTAGTGATACACTGGATTCCTTTTTCTTTATTTTTGCATATCTATTACTGGTTTTTGATTTGTGGTTATCATTAGGTTTGTATATAGCATCTTAAGCATATAGCAGTCTCTATTAGGCTGATGGTCACTTAAGTTTGAAACCATTCTTTACTCCACCCCCCACCCCACATTTTAGGCATATGGTATCATACTTTACATCCTTTCATTTTGTGGATCCCTTGACTGATTTTTTTAAGATTTCATTTATTTGAGCAAGAGAGGGCATGAGCAGGGGAGAGGGGCAGATGGAGAGGGAGAAGCAGGCTCCCCACTGAGCAGGGAGCCAGACATGGGGCTCAATCCCAGGACCCCGGCCGGGATCATGATCTGAGCCAAAGGCAGATGCTTAGCCAACTGAGCCACGCAGGTGGCCCCCTTTGACTGATTATTGTAGATATACTTCTTTTCACTGCTTTTGTGCTTCCTACTTTTCTTACTCCTACTTACGATCTTTCCTTTCCACTCGAAGAATCCTTTTTAACATTTCTTTTTTTTTTTTTATTTATTTATCTGACAGAGAGAGACACAGTGAGAGAGGGAACACAAGCAGGGGGAGTGGGAGAGGGAGAAGCAGGCTTCCCGTGGAGCCAGAAGCCCAATGGGGGGCTCGATCCCAGGACCCTGGGACCATGACCTGAGCTGAAGGCAGATGCTTAACGACTGAGCCACCCAGGCGCCCCCTTTTTAACATTTCGTGTAGTCACGAATTCCCTTTAACTTTTGCTTATCTGGAAGACTCTTTCTCTCTCCTTCTATGATGAATAACAGAGTATTCTTGGCTGCATGTTTTTTCTTTCAGCACTTTGAATATATCATGCCACTCCCTTCTGGCCTGCAAAATCAGTGAAAAATCAGCTCACGGCCTTATGGGGTTTCCCTTGTAAAAAACTGTTTTCTTTTCTCTTGCTGCTTTTAAAATTCTCTCTTTATCACTACTTTTTGCCATTTTAATTACTGTGTGTCTTGGGGTGGACCTCCTTAGATTGATTTTGTTGGGGGCTCTCTGTGAATCCTAGATCTGGATTTCTGTTTCCTTTACCAGATTTGGGAAGTTTTCAGCTATTATTCCTTCAAATAAAATTTCTGCCTCCTTTTCTTACTCTTCTCCTTCTGGGATCCCTATAATACGAATGTTATTACACTTGCTGGTGTTGCTGAATTCCCTGTCTATTTTCATTTTTTATTATTATATTTTCTCTCTCCTGTTCAACATGATTACATTACTCCGTCCTGTAGGTAGCTAATCCCGTCTTCTCCTTCTTCTAGTCTACTATTTATTCTATCTAGTGTAGTTTTAATTTCATTTATTAAGTTCTTCATCTCTGGTTCATTTTTATGTTTTCTCTCCGTTTGTTAAGGATCCATTGAGGTCCTGCACACTTTCCTCTTCAGACCATTCACTCTTAAGACCGTTACTGTAAAATCTCTATCAGGCATATTACTTATCTCCATTTTGTTTAGGTCTCTTGCTGTGATTTTGTCTGTCCTTTCATTTGGGACATTTCCTCTGTCCCTCATTTTGCCTAACTTTCTGTGTCTGTTTCTATGTGTTGGGAAAGTCGGCTGTGTCTCCTGCTCTTGAAAGTAGTGGCCTCATGAAGAGTCCGGTAGTGCCCCATAGTGCAGTGTCCCGTTTATCAGAACCTGGTGCTTCAGGGGTGTCTTCTATGCATATTGCACACACTCTGCTGTTGTAGCTGAGCCACTTTTTCCTTCAATCCAGTTGTCTGCAGTGGCCCTCTTTGCCTGTTGTAGGCACGGTTTGGTCCTTGTGTTGTTAGTGAGCCAGGCTGGGTCCACCTCGGGCTTGAGTGGAGTCGGACCAGGCATTTGCCAGAGCTGCAATCACACCAAAGTGTGACTCTGTCCTCCCCTGAGAAGCTTTCATCGGTGGACAGTGCTTGGAGGCAGACCAGCTGTCTGCGCCCAGCCCACTGCTGGGGCTGCAGTCTGATTGTTGCGTGTGGTTGTCTTCTCCCCTCCCTGGGGTGGGAGTCACTTTGGAGTGGTGCTGGCCCGTGTGGGGGCTGCTTGCACACAGCTAGGCTCGTGGCCCCACTTTGCATGGACTCTGGCCAAGAGCACATTGTAGGGGGCAGGAGCACAGGAGAACTGGGGGGCAGGGTGGGCAGTGCCAGCGAGGTTTGCCCAGGTCTGCTGTGGGAGGGGACCTGGAGCAGAGGCCTGACTGCCAGGGCAGATCTGCAGAGGAAGCTGGGGGCTGGGCGCACTGTTAGCAAGTCAGGCGGCCAGTGCTGCCACAGCAGTGTTCCCACAGGGGTCCGGGTGGCTAGGCTGGGGGGCAGGGAAGGGAGATAGTGCCCAGCAGCTCCTTTGTTCCTGGAGAAGTCGCCTAAAGATCCCTGTCTCTCTAGCATATGCTCTGAGATTAGTAAACAGATCTCCCTCCAGTATACCCCAGGTGTTTTTCAAACTGAGGCTTCTATACTGTATCTCCAGGGCTGCTTGCTGCGCTGTCCCTTTAAGGGCAGGGACTCGGTTTCCTGTAGCTCTCCCTGCTCCCCCAGAGCCAAGCCTGCTGATTTTTAAAGTCCCAGGTGGTAAGCCCCACTGATGGTAAGAACTCACAAAATTCAGCCCGTCTGGTTTTCAAAGCCAAATGTTCTGGGGATTCATCTTCCCCATGTGGGCTCCCCAGTGTAAGAGTCTGTTTCTCTACCCTCTTCATGCCCACGGCATCCCTCCCTCCTGAGGACAGTCCCATGGGTCCATTTAACTCCCAACCACGTCTCCATTCTTCCCACCCTCTTTGATGTGACTTCCTCTCCACATTTAGCTGTGGAAAGTTTGTTCAGTCTTCAGGTTGTTGTCTCCCATTATTTACACCGCTGTGGGTGTTATCTCGCTGTATCTGTGGGATGAGGGGAGCTTAGGGTCCTCCTACTCTGCCATTTTCCCTGGAAGTCACCTGTCTAGTGTACTGTTAATCACACACACTAACGGAACCTTTTTCTTATCACCCCCACTCTCACCCCACAGGTATGAGGCAAAAGAATATTACGAAGCACTTCCAGAGCTGAAGCTGGCCATTGATCAAATTGACAATGGCTTCTTCTCTCCCAAGCAGCCTGACCTCTTCAAAGACTTAGTCAACATGCTATTTTATTACGACAGGTGAGTTCCCACAAGACAATCGTGCTGTTTGGGCCATAAAAGGGGACAAGAACATCTAAACCAACTACAACACATCTGTGTAATTAGCATAGATCTGTGATCTGAAAAGCTAACCTATAGTTGAAAAATTAGATATTCTCTACTAACTATGCAGGAAGGTTTAAGAACAAGACCCACAGATCTGGGATTCTTTTTCTCTTTCCACTGGTATACCCAGCTTTCAGATAACATCCATATGTTGACATTCTTACATGTGGGAAGAACCAATATAAAGGTTGAGGGCTGGTTAAAATTCTTGTGAATAGAAATGTAAGTTTGATAAACCAGCCATGCCTGATGTTATACTAAAGAGAATTTGTCAAGGGGGTGGTGCACCTGGGTGGCTTAGTCAGTTAAGCATCCAACTCTTGGTTTTGGTTCAGGTCATGGTCTCAGGGTCATGAAATCAAGCCTCACTTCTGGCTCCCTGTTCAGCATGGAGCCTGCTTGGTATTCTCTCCCTTTCCCTCCCCCTCTGCCCCTCTCCCTGCTCATGTTTGTGTGTTCTCTCTCTCTCCCTCTCTCTCAAATAAATCTTAAAAAAAAAAGCAAAAGATAATTTTAAGTGGAATCTTAGCACACATATTTTAATGAAGATTTTTGTTGTTTTGTTTTTCCCTTCCAATCACAAAAAACAGGTTTAAAGTCTTCGCAGACTATGAAGCCTATGTCAAGTGTCAAGAAAAAGCCAGCCAGCTGTACATGGTGAGTATACTGCTGAGACCTATAAAAGTAACCAGCTTACTATGGTTAATTAAAATTTTTGTTTCTTTTTATTAAATCTAAATAACAGGGCCCCATTAATCAATCCAAAAAGAGAAATGAGGCAACTATCTAGGATATTCAGACCTTATCTTCTAATAGAATCATATCTAGTCCCCCAAAAATGTATAGGCCAGAGTAAATTAAAGTTAAAGGCCATTAGCAAGGAGGGGCAGTACTCGAGTTAAGCTGAGTGGCTCACTACCTGCCTCCAAGAACTCAAAGTCAGACAAAAGAAAATGGTCAACTCTAGCTCTTTCCTCTTGATCTCCACTTGTATTTGTGTGTAGAATGGCTAAGAGGAAAAGAAATATAAATAGAGCAGGAAAGGAAAATATGACAAGGGCAAGGACAAATGTGAATGCCAGTTTTGCACAATGGGTCTCTTTTGCTAATGCTATGGCCCGAATCCAAAGATGCCCATCTCAAAGCCCAGCATTTGGTTCAGTCTTCCTTGTTCATTAGTGCTAATTGCAATTTTTACTCATAACAATTATCGTATTTTGGGGCTTAGAAACATATTGGGAAGTCTATTCATTATCCATTTAAATAGTTAAAGAAAGTGAAGAAAAGGAAGCTTTTATTTTCCTCTTATTTAGCAAGTTTTCAAAGTCCGAATAAACAAATTTTAGACTCTGTGTTGCAGTACCTTATGGAATAATCATAGTTTTGGCTTTTCTTTTAAATGTTTATAATGCATTGCTAATGGCTTTGAGTAATGTTCTGGTCTTTTTCTTTTTTTAAGATTTATTTAATTTTTTGAGTGAGAGAGAGCAGGGGTGGGGAGTGGGGCAGAGGGAGAGGGGGAGAGAAACTGAAGCAGACTCCAAGGAGCTGAGCACAGAGCCAGAAGCAGGGCTTGCTCTCACAACCCTGAGATCATGACTGAGCCAAAACCAAGAGTCAGACACTTAACCGACTATGCCATCCAGGTTCCCGTGTTCTGGCCATTTTTAATGAACTTTTAGAGTTCTTTATAAAATCATGAGGGCATAAAATAAATAGCTTCTTATATTATTTTACATAAAAATTATAAAATTTGGATAGAATATATTTTATTAAGGATAAGGCCTTAATTGATCCTGTTTTGAAACCCCAATAGAGTATTTGGGATTCAGTGTAAATCAACTGGGGCATCTACCTTCAGAACGAACAAGAAAGGAGAAGTAGGTCAATAAATTGTCCCATTACATTGTTTCCCTGCACAACAGCTAACATTCTAGAGTAGTGTTTTTCAAACTATGATCTAAGCCACAGGTTAAATCTCTTGACACAGCATCTAGCAGACAATGAACGTTAGTCCCTTCCTTCCCCTCTAATTAAAGGGATGTGAAATAAAAAATAAAGCATGGGAAATATGGCTTGCATGCCAAAATATTGTAACCATAGCAACAATTACCAATTAGGGAATTTACATCCATGGTTTCTCTTAAAATGAAAAATACTTTTTTTCATTCTTAAGAGAAATATACTCTAAACAGAAGAAAAGCATGATCTGCCCTATCTAGCTCTCAGCTGTGAAACAAATGTATTTATGATTCACTACAACTTACTCCTGTCATTTTTCCCCTGCAAGTGTGCTTGGATGTGCTTGGCCTGGCATTTGTCATAAAGTTCGATGGGCACTCGGGCTGTGGGCCATATATATGTGTGTTCTTTACAGAATCCAAAGGCCTGGAACACAATGGTACTCAAAAATATAGCTGCTGCAGGGAAATTCTCTAGTGACCGAACAATTAAGGAATATGCCAGGGACATCTGGAACATGGAGCCTTCAGATCTCAAGATTTCCCTATCCAGTGAATCTAGCAATGGGGTGAACAAAGCCAGTGGAAAGTAAGTTGTAAAATGTCTCTAGAAAAAAAAATAACTTCTTACTGGATTTAAAAACTTTTACAACATTCTTTGATTTTGTTTTGTTTTGTTAGCTAATAATCTAGTTAAGAATTTCTGGGAATTAGGAGGGAAAGTGTATGACTGTATTAGGGCTAAAAATAAAGTGCCAATTTACAAGGGCTACATGAGTGCCAAAACTTGTTATTTGATGGCAGATTGAGTAGCGTGCTAGGACTTTCTCTAGGGCTATTCAAAAAGCTAGAAAATACTTGGAACTTTTTAATGCCATTTAAATTAACTAAACTGAAACACAAATTACTTAACTACATTAGAGTACCTTTCTTATACTGTTAAGTCCCAACCAAAGACGACCTTATTCACAAATATCCCCAGCATGTTTGGTAACCACACATTTTTAGATGGGATCCAAATTTTACCAAATTCTGATACTCTACAATGAGGTTTCAGTTTGTTCCACAAAGTAGACTATGATAAGCTAAATGACAACTTTCAATAATGCCCAACATCCATGCCTTCCCTTACTAAAATGGCAAGTGAATTGTAGAAATGTCAGTGACTTCAGCTCATCCCAGCAGCCCAGTACAATTTTACATGAAAAATATGCATCTAGGGTGGTGTCTGGACCAAGTCTTCACTTCAGATTTCTGTTACTCTCAGACCTCATGCCCACTGCTCGCTCAGGAAATCTCTGCAAAAAAAGGACCTAGGTCAGCTCACATGCTTTCTCCACTTCCCAGTCTAAGTAAGCCAGAGCAGCCCTATCTGCCTTTAAGAGAGGGATAATCACATTTAGCAAAGCAACTCTTACCTCACAGTGTTTATTAGTGTGGGGCTTCTACAGAGGAAGTTGTGTTGGAAACCAGGGGGAAAGGTCACCATCTTGACCCTCTCTTTGTTCCTATATGCATTGTGTGCAATTTCATAGAGCTGTGCAGGACAGAAAGACAGAGACTCAAAGGCTGACCATCAAAGGTGGTGTTTTTCTAGTTTAATTTTCCTAAACAGTACAGAAACTGTCAACTTGGGGAGTTAGTCCCATTAAGTCAGAGATAAGGGACTCTCTACCACCCTTCCCCAACCCCCAGTGTTGGCTGTCTCTACAACTAAGGAACTAAAAACGGCACAGCTAACACAGAACACTGACAGAACCTCATCCTTCTGCTGCCAACACCCTCCCTGCAAGGGGACAGGAACTGCGATGGACCCACTGTATTTGTCTAAAAGAAAAGAAACTGCATCCTGTTTTTGGAGCCACTATGGGAGAGCCTACATGGAGATTCTCACACCAGCCTGGGATCTTCTCTATACTTGCAGATCCACACGTACACTTGCCGACGAGGAACCAGGATCCACTACAAACACTCCTTCAAGCTACACAGCATAGCACACTGATGCATATTGTATACACCAGGCAGCATGCCTATTTAGGGATGTAGAGAATCTCTTATAATGTCAGAGACCCTCCTGTAGGCTCTAATCTCAAAGTCTGGCTAGATGAGAAAATGGTGATACAAGTATAGTATGTTTCAGTCAGCACTGAGCTCTTAGTTTACCTTTTTGCCAAACTCCAAAGGCACCGTGCTGTCATCCTCACCGTGTATGATGAGGAGGGGAGAAGACAGGAATTTAACACTAGGGACAAGTAGAAGAAAAGCATTCAGCTCAAAAATTATATGTTGAGATTTCTCTTCTTCTAAGTTAACGCTTTAGCAAAACATGAGATTTACCTCAAAATACAAGATCTCTCTTTCCTTCCTTCCCAGGAATGACAACTTCATATGTAATAAACTTCATATAGTCACTCTTTTCCCTTCCAGGCAAGATTCTCTCTCTTCTATTTACTCACACAATTTAATTAGGTATTTAATTAATTGAATTTATTTCTACATGATTTTTTTTAAATAATTAAGAAAAAACACTGAATTTGTACAGTTAAAAGAACCTCATCTTTTCCCTTATTCTACCTTATTTCATAATATCTGGGATATTTTAACTAAAAGACTATATAAAAGAAACAAAACAACTCAAAATTCAAAGATAACAAGAACTACCACAGGACTAAAGAGAACTCCTTGTAGCAATGTATTTACTTTTCCCCATAAATGTACAGAGGGACACAAGATTAACAGGTTTAATCAGCTTCCTGGTCAACCTCCTAGCTTGGTAATTCAGAGAGGCTACGGCATGAAGAAGACTTGTTCCTCATTCTAATAACTTTCTCAAACAATACTTCCCAAATTCTGATACCTATCCACCCCGTCACAATGACTCACTGTTGCTCCTGAGAAGGTTAGATCCCTCAAGTGTGTCGACATAAAGTACTGATAACAACTGCCCATTGGAGGCACTCTTAAATTCTCCAGCTGCGAGAGGCTAACTTGCCAAATTCTGGTCATTGGACTTGCTGTTGGGTCAATAGGCTGAATGGTGGGTGGGTTTTGGTTACATGGGGAATAAGGCCTAGAAGTCAGGGATCCCCGAGGAACATTAGGCTAGACCTTCTCAGAGCACCTTTAAAAGATCCTGTAAACCCTAAGTCTACAACTCCCTTTATGACTTCAGAGAAAGTATTGAATTAGTGAAGTGTTCAAATTAGACATGAGGAAAATATCAAACAATAAAAATTTGTGCACACATTACCTCAAAGTTTGGTACCCATCTAAGAATTCTCATCTACCCGTTCAGTATGTTACATGATAGTTACCCTCCAGAATCGCATAGATACACTAATAATGGACATCCTTTCATCATTAGCTTACTTTTCATCATTAGGGAAGACTATTTTGTCTTTTCTCAGGGCATCCATAAGCGCACGTAAAAATCCTGGAAGTTTCCGGTAAATCTATTTTTTAAAAAGAAAAAAAAAATTAAAACATGGCCTATATCTATGTCATTTGTTATGTTTTCCTCCATGAACTATACTAATGTAGAGAGTAGCAACTTTCTACATATAATAAACTTTTTTAAGAATAAATCTCATGATTTTAAAAGTAACTCATGTCATTGTAGGGAAATTGGAAAATACAAAAAGGAAGAAAGAAAAGGTGGTGTATAATGGAATATTACTCATATATATATATATATGTATATATAGACACACACACACACCACCTCTTCTTCATTCATTCATCAGTTGATGGACATTTGGGCTCTTTCCATAGTTTGGCATCAAATTTTTGACTAATCAGGATATTCTGTTCAGTGACTAGACCAGTTAATTATGTTCACTGTAGAAGCAATTTTTAGATTATGCATATCACTGCTCCTTTACAAGTGTGAAGAAAAAGAGTTAGTGGTGCTATTTGTATTTTAAAGAAAGATAGGAAGCAAAAACAACAAAATGTTAACAGTGATTATCTCTGGGTGGTGGGGATTATGTGTGATTTGTTTCTTCTTTCGTCCTTTTTGCACCACCTTGGCCTTTGAGGCCCCACAGAATCTGGCTGTTGCCTGTCTATCCTCTCACTGAGCCTACCCCTGTCCACCCTGCTGCCTTCTTCTGGAACACATCAGGCTCAAACCTACCTCAGGGCCCTTGCCTTTCTTTTCCCTCAGCTCAAGACCTCCAGATTTTCCCATGACAGCCTCTTACCGTGCAAGTCTCAGCTCAGATGATAGCTCTTTGAGGAAGCTTTCCCTACCGACCCCCCCAACACCCACAAGTCACTCCCTGTCACACGCAGCACTTCTCACTCCTGAAAATCAGCTTATTGTGTACTCGTCCCCTGCCTGTCTTCCCAGTAAGTAGATACACTTCACAGGAAGTCAGTCCACAACTTTTTTATTCCCTGTGGTATTCCCAGAACCTAGGAAAGTTCCCAGTACCTAACAGACACTTGAATAAAGACTTACTAAAGATGGAATGAATCTCCTGTGCAAATATCCCTGGCGTACACTATAAGCTATTATCTGTCATGTTCATCTTAGTGTGACTTGAATTTCATTCAGATTTTATTCCTTGGAATAGATTTGCTAAGAGAAAAGACCAGAAAAGTATTATATGTATTCCTCCGCTGTGCCTGAGAGGGGAGTGGGGAGGAAAGTGCTACGTAACAAATGGGATATTGCCAAAGGAAGGAATTGGGTACGGCACAGGTAGGCTGGGGCCAGTTTAAAAAGAAAAGAATTCTATTCGTTGTAGAAGCAATTTTTGGGTTATACGTATCACTGCCCCTTTATGATATGGAGAAATTAGAGTCAGCTGCTATAATACATCATTTGTTGTAGTCTTCCACTATGAACTGTAATAATACAGAGAATAGTATCTTTCTAAATAGAATGAACTTAAAAATTTGTTTTCCTGCTTTTAAAAAGTAGTTCATGTCATTGTAGGGAAATTAGCACAGAATAGGGAGGCTGGGTCCAGTAAAGACAGATGTCTGCTTCACAATTTTGGCATAGGCCTGCTGTTTCCAGGATGCTTTCACATTTTCATGGTAGTTTGTCTGGCTTGCATTTTTTGCATGGTCTCATGGCACATGATTTGCATTCAGGTGCAGTCCAGAGATCCTAATACTGCCTCTCCTGCCCCTTTTCCTTTTTCCTTCTCTTACCCATAACTAAGGGCGAGATTTCTTGTTTTGTTTTCTCTTGTCTTTGTCTCCTGATTCTGCCACCCCTGGAATCAGGACTCCTCTGAGGAAAATTCAATAAGAGAAGCCCCTCAGCAATTCATCTCAAATTCCAAAGGAGTAAGAAGAAAGCAGGCCTAAGTCAATCTACCCCCATTATTCCTCATCAGCCAGAGGTGCCCCTTGAGACTCAGAGGTCATACCATCCCCTCCAGCCCAGACCACAGCAGTGGGCTCCTAATTGGTCTTCCTGCCTCCTCTCTCTTCTGGAATGCCATCAAATAAATATTCTTAAAAGACTAGTAATGTGAAATGTACTGTCACAAAGCTTCCATAGTGCCACACAAGCTACTTAAAGTAAGAAACTCCCATCCTGGCTGCAAGCCCATCCACATCTGGCCACAATCTTTCATTCCAAAGGCTGCACACCTCCAGTCCATCTGCCTAGAGTTAGAAGATGTAGGATTGAGTCCCATTTCCTCTTCTTATAGGGTGTGTGACAATTGGGCAAGCCTCTGAGCCGCCATTTCCCTCAGCTCTAAGTGGAGGCAATGATGCCAAACTCAGAGAGCTGTTACGAGGATTTAAAAGGATGATGAGTGTGCAAGATCCTTCATGGAAGCCTTGTATGACTCTCAGGTATTTTATAGCACATAGTTGCTCCACTCCACCCATGTGCCTTGGCTCACCCTCTGCCTCCTCTCTGTGTTTCCTAACTGCTCTCCCTTACCTTCAAGAAAGGAGCTTAGATCCTCTCTCTGTAAGTCTTCACTGACCATATCTGTGCACAAGACCTTTCTCTTCCCTGAATTCTTCCTACCCTAAAATTACTGTTCTGGGTCCTACCCTAGCACTTACCTTAGTCTGCTTAGCAATAGAAAAAGTGGGAAAAGGGAACATGTATTTGTTGAGTCCTCGCTAGCTGCTGGGTACTTTGCAATGATTATCTTACTTAATCTAATCTTCTCAACAACCCTAGGCAGTAGGCAGTATCAACCCCATTATTTAAAAATGGGAAAACTCAGAGAAGGGAAATAGTATTCTAAGATCATAAGTGGTTAGTGGCAGAAGCCAAATTTGAACCCAAATCTGTCTGGCTCCATAGCCCATGCTCTTTTTTCCACTGTGTCATGCTGCCTTCCTATTTTGAGTAATGAAATTGATTCCAGAGTGACTTAATGGAAATCCCTGCCATTACTTTATATCCACCATTAATTTTCTATCTCCTCAACTAGACAGGAAGCTTCTTGAGAGTAAGGATCCATGCCTTTCATTATATTTGTATGTCTCACACCACCTACACTTTCTTATTTAACAGGAACGTTCAGGGTTATGGCACTCCACTGGTAATAAAAAGAGTTAATGGCCATTCAGTGCTTACTCTGTCCCAGGTGCTATTATAGATACTTTTCATATACTAATATATTTAGTTATCACAGTAATCTGGAATAAATTATTTATTACCCCCATTTTATAGATGAGGCAATTAGAGCATTAAAAGCAATTAATCTGAGGTTATACAGCTGATAAATGACAGCCCTGGAAATCAAACCCAGGAAGTCTGACACCAGAGCTATGGTTCTTAAAGACAGCATGATAATACAGGACTCCTCTACTTCTAAACCATAAAGGTACCATGACATTTTAAATTAAATTCCAAACTTAAAAAAATATTGGAAGATTCCCCACTTTTAATAATAGAAGAATCATTACAAACCAGACCTTTTGCGCAAGACAACTAGAAAAGCCGGAAATATATATATATATATATATTTTTTTTTTTTTTAAAGTATTTTAAAAACCTTTCTGTGAAGGTGTCAGAGACCTGCCAAGGCATCTTGAATGGTCTAGATCCCCAAGAGAAAGGAATGTCAGAGAGGTGAAAGTGACATTCAAGGCCACTTTTCGCCTTGAGACACAGCTTGCAAGTCAGGAGAAAGCAAAAAGTAGAGGCAAAAGAACACAAAAGGAAACAGATGACACAAACAGAAAAGAAAAAAGATTTAAACCTAAATATATCATAATTTCATTAAGTTAAATAGACTACTGTAGTTAATAGACAAAGCTTGTTGGAAATGAAAACAAAACCCTACTATATGCTGCTGACAAGAGATATGCATTAAATACAAGAATTCAGAAAAGTTTAGAGTCAAAGGATAGAAAATTATATATTATGCAAACCCTATTCAAAACAAAGATATTAATATCAGGCACAAAGTTGACTTTAAGTCAAGAAGCATTATTAATCAAAAAAGGATATTTCATAATGAAAAAAGGTGTCCAAAATCAATTTACATGGAAGATATAAAATTACATTATTACTCGATGTATGCTTTACACATGTATAACATATGCTCAAAAAACCTAAAGCAAAAATTGACAGAACTAGGATAGAAATAAACAACTCCACAATCATGGCAAGGTATTTTAATACCCTTCCCTGCGTAACTGATAAAACAACCAGTCAAAAAATCAGTGCAAATATAGAAGAATTGAACAGCATGATTAACAATCTTTACCTAATTGATATATATAAGAACACTGCACCAAAAACAGAACATATTCTTTCCAAGCATATGGAACATATGCCAAAATTGACCATAATGTTGGGACATAAAGCAAGTCTGAACAAATTTCAAAAACTGAAATCATACAGAGAGAAATCTCAGATCATGGTAGAATTAAGCTAGAAGTCAACAGCAAACATAATCAAATCCCCAAATGTATAGAAATTACAAAATACATTTTTAAATAACCCATAGGTCAAAGAAGTCATAATATTATAAAATATTTTGAACTGAATTATCGTTAAAATGCATTTGAAAACTGGTGGGATCCATCTGAAGAGTGGCTTCTGTAAGAGTATGCCTTCATGCATAAATTAGAAAAGAGGAAATACTGAAAATAAATTATCCAAGTACCATCTCTAGAAATTTTTTAAAAAATTGAATCTAAAGAAAATAGAAGAAAGGGAATAATAAAGGTAAGAACAGATAATAAAACTGAAAGCATTCAATATAGATAATCAACAAAGTCTGAGTTGGTTCTTTGAAGAGACTAATAAAATTAATTCTGGCTGTAAATGTTGGCTGTCCCCCTTCTCCTTAGCTTTGGACAACAGAAGCCATTGCCGTCAAAGTTATGTCACCCTCCCTCAAACTATTCTCTAACCCTGCAGATGGCAGAAACAACCACCAACCCCCTACACTTGACTCAAGGCTTAGAGTCCCATGTGGATCAGACCAAAGCTACACTCTACCAGAAGTCACATCTTGTTCTGCTCTTTCCCCATCCCTATCCTACAACCTTCACACAAATGACCTTGCAGGTTTTGCCTTTAGAGCACTCTCAATAAATCACGCACATCAAGTCCTTGCCATGGGCTCTGCTTATAGGAGAACCTGACCTAAAACTAAAATTAAAACCTTAATCAATCAAAATAAACTTATAAATACCATGTTCATAAATCAGAAGATTCAATATTAAAAAGATATCAATTTCTCCAAATTATATATAGACCTAATGCAATTCCAATCAAAATCCTGGGAAGTTTTTTGTAGAAATTGATGAGTATATACCAAAATATACATCAAAATACAAAAGATCAAGAATAGTCAAGACAAATCTTGAGTAAGAAGAACAAAGCTGAAGAACTTACCCAGATATAAAAACATATTAGAAAGCTACAGTAATTAGGGGTGCCTGGGTGGCTCAGTCAGTTGAGCACCTGACTCTTGATTTCAGCTCAGGTTGTGATCTCTGGGTAGTGAGATGGAACCCCACTTTGGGCTGCACACTGAGTGTGGAGCCTACTTGGAATTCTCTCTCTCTCTCTCTCTCTGTCTCCCCCTCTCCCTCTGCCCCTCCCTTCATTCACCCTCAATCTCTCTTAAAAAAAAAAAAAAGCTATAGTAATTAGTAATTAGGAGATGCAGTATTCATATGAGAATGGACAGATAAGGGAAAGAAATGGGAATCTACTAACAGACCCATATACATTAAACCCTGATATATTCAAACACTAGCACTGCAGAATTGGTAGGGAAGGTTTGTTTAGTAAATGGTACTAGACCAAAACTGGATATCCATATGGACTTCTACCTCCTACATACAAAAATCCATACCTGTAGATTATAGCTCTAAATGTAAAAGATAAAACAATTTCTATAAGATAGCATAGAAGGATATCTTCATAATCTTTGGTACCAGAGTTTTATTAAACAGGACACTTTTCTTAAAAATATTAACCATGAAAAAAGTGATAAACTGCCCCACATTAAATCTAGGACTATCTCTTCATCATAAGATATCATTAAGGGAGTAAAAAGGCAAAATGAGAGAATATACTTGCAATACAAATAATTTTCTAATGACTCATCCTATGAAAAACTACAAATAAAAAAAGACAAAAGGAAGAACAAGTATCTCACAAGAGATATCTAAATGACTAATAAACATGAAAAAAATGCCCAGCTTCATTAGTCATAAGGGAAATACAAATTAAAACCACAATGAGATATCCATATGAGGGTAAGGATGTGAAGCAATTGGAACTCTCATACACAACAGGTGGGAGAGTAAAATGGTTAAGTCACTTTGGAAAACTGTTTGGCACTCTAATCACTAAAGCTAAACATATGCATATCTTACTATCCAGCAATTCCATTCCTAGGGTATACTCCGGTGAAATATGTACGTTTGCAGGATACATGTTCAAGAACATTCATAACAGCAGTGTTATTAATTACCCCAAACAGAAAGCAACTCAAATGTCCATAAACAATAGGTCAATAAATTGTATATTTATACAATGAAATACTACATAGCAATGAAAATGATCAAACTACAACTATACCTCTTGTGTAAAATCCCACAAATATATGTTGGTTGAAAAACACAGAATATATCCTATTTAATTCTACTAATTATATAAAGTTCAAAAACAAAATTATATTGCTTAGAGATGCACACATAGATGGTAACACTATAAAGGAAAGCATGGATATGATTATCATAAAACTCAGTCTAAGGATTACATCTAAGGTGAGGCTTATTGAATTGGGAAGTGACATGCAGGAGACTTCTAGGGGGCTAGTGATGCTAATTTCTGGACTTAAATGCTAGTTAAATGGATGTGCAGTTCATAATTATTTGTTAAATCATATATTTTCCTATTATGTTAAATTTCAAAATTAGAATTTCAAAATAGAAACAAAAGTACATGGATTGTACCTGATTTATTCCTACAAGTTAGTGAATTTATTAGTAATTACTTAGAGTAATATAATAGATGCTCAATTAGTGGCTATCTTAAAATGAATACTTAATTGTCTAAAACCAATTGAAAGTGTTTCATTATCTCAAATTAGTCAGCACTCAGTATTTTCTATTGTTCAGGGGATTTCTGTATTGAAATGGAGTTTATAGTACAGGCATTATTCTAGATTATGTGGTTCTGTGAATTAGCTGTCCTGGGAAGTGATGAGCTACCTTCTCCTGAAATAGTTAAGCAAATTCAGAAAGTTTTGTGATGATTTATTATAAAAAAAAAAAAAAGATTCCAAAAGTAGGCAGTTGTATTAAAGTACCCTTAAAATACCTTCTAACATTAATCAACAATTTAAAATTTTGGGTCGTGTATCCGCTCTGAGAATCCTATCTCTTTCTCTGGCTCATTGGCTAACATTTATATGGAGCTATGTCTATAAGCAGTTGAGCATTAGGCATGGGATAAAATTAGGATAATCTGCACAACAGATAAAAAAACTACATCTTGTTGCCCAATTCTTTAAACTTTATCCTCTTGGAAAGATTGTCTTCTCTACTTGGGATACTGTGTAAAACCCTTTGGCAGCTTCCTTGAATTCTCTAAAGCCTTTTTTTTTATCATAAAATAATGATAAATATATGGCTGACAATCATAGGGTTAAAAATGATGTATGAGAGGCATGTTTTCACTTTAAAAGGGAAAAATAATAAAGTAAATCAAGTCTATTTAAAAAAGTACATGATAAAAGGTACAGTTAAAGGAAGAGGTGGAAAAAAAAAGCTTTGGCTCTTAATAAGCCACTATCTCAACCTATTAGAAGAAATAAAAGAACTGCAAAATCCAAAAGCCATCGTGTCCTCCTTCAATAGCAACTGGCTAATGACCTGTCTCAGGTTAGAATAACTTAGAAACGTATAATTCTGGTTAAGAAAAGGAAAACGGTTAATAAGCGTAAGTCTGTGAAAATAGCCTACATTTTCACATCTTATGAAGATGATTCAGAGACTCACCTTTAGCAAGGGATAATTAATACTTGCAACCCATATGTTGGTAAATGGAGCCTCCAGGATAATAGCATCAACTGGGAATCCTTGAAAACAATAAAAAAGAAATAACACTGCTATCATATTTAAATACTACCTTTCCTAAATAAGGAGTCCTCAAGGTCCTGTACATGAACTACCTGAACCAAAGTTATTTGCGAAGCTTGTTAATAATGCAAATTCCTAGACTCCACACTAGACTTGAATCAGTCAGAGTCTCGGGGTGGGGGGAGTGCATTTTTAATGGGCATCCCCACCCCAAGAGATTTCTATGCACATGATTGTTGAAAATCACTACCTTCTAGGACACAGCCAGGTTTTCATGACTTGGATAATTTAAGAAAGCAAAGTACTATAGGAAGGGAGAGTGTTCTGCAGCCCATGGTTAGGAATGGACCAGAAGCTGACTAGGTTGTTTTGGCCAACACTTCCTCTAAGAACAATTAGAAAATGCGTGTCAGATGGGGATATGTATTTGTTTATGTACACAGTAGTCCCCCTTTATCTGCAGTTTCAGTTATGTGCAGTCAAGAGCAGTCCAGAAGCACATAATCCTGCTTCTGTCATATTGTCAGGTCAGTAGTAGCCTAACACTACATCTCAATGCCTACATCATTCACCTCACTTCATCTCATCATGGAGACATTTTATCATCACACATCATCACAAGAAGAACGGTGAGTACAGTAAAATATGATGTTTTAAGAGACACCCCAGTCACATACCTTTTATTATAGTATGTTGTTATAATTGTCCTATTTTAGTATGTTATTATTAATCTCTTACTGTGCCTAATTGATAAATTAAACTTTATCATAGGTGTATACATATAGGAAAAACACAGTATATATAGGGCTTGGTATTATCCGTGGTTTCAGGCATCCACTATAGGTCTTGGAACATATCCCCCACGGATAAGGGAGGACTACTGTATGTATATGTATATGTTTGAAGGCATCTGAGGGCTACTAAATCCGTGAGATTTTGAGAGCCAATACCAAAAGAAAAAAGTCCACAAGAGTTTGAGATGCTTTTCCCCTCAAAATAGCTGAAAACCTGAAAGCAACAGTGGTGGCTGCTCTTAGAGGCTCAGAACTAGACAGAACTTTCAGCAGTTCCACAGGACCAAAAGGGCAAAAATTAGAGGTCAGAATCTGACAAGAAGGAGAACTCTAATAAATTTCTTAGGCTTTTTGTGACTTCAAAAGACTACACCCTGGGAGTAATGGTGAACTAAAACCGGACCAGCCCTCATAAATACTAAAGCCCAGCTTCAAATCAGCTCAATTTCTGATTGGATTAAGGTGATCTCCCCCCTATTTTAACTTCTTTTCAGGAGAAAAGTAACTTTTGTCTGGAAGAAGATAATATTATCCCTAACCCTTCAAATTATCTCTACAATTTCCATAAACAATAGCTAGCATTTAATCAAAAATAACTAGACAAACAAAAATAAACTAAAATAGGCCAAAAATACAAAAAACAAACAAAAAACCAAATAATGGAAAGAGATCAACAAGGATCTAGATATTGGCATTATTCTATATGGACTTTAAAATAATTTGTAAATAACCAATTGTACTATAGTAAAATACTTGTTAAAATTTTAATATTTAATAAAATTTGATATTATGTAGTGAACTGTGTAATATGTCAAAAGAAAATATTTAAACTAAAGCACAAGGAGAAAAATGTCTGGAAAACCCAGGAAAGAACATTGGAGACATACAGGACATGGGAAAAGACCTAAAATAAATACATATAATTATAGTCCCAGGGGGAGAGAAGATGAAAAATGGGGTAGGCACAATATTTGAAGATAAATGACCAATTTTCCAAGGTGGATGAATATCAAGCTAGAGTTATTATGGTACTATGAACCCCAAGCAGGATAACTACTAAGAAACCCACACCTAGGAAAATCACAGTAAAAATGCTGACAAACAAAGACAAAAAGAAAATCTCAAAAATAGCCAGAAGAAAAAGTAATTATCTTTAAAGGAGCAGCAGGAAGACTGGAAGCTGACTTCCCAGTGGAACAGTGAAAGCCAGAACAAAATGAACAACGTCTTCAAAGTGTTGAAATAAAATAACTGCCAACCAAGAATTCTATGCCCAATGAAAATATCCTTCAAAAACAAAGATAAAATAAAGATATTTTCAGGCCAAAACTGAGGGAATTCTTCACCACAGATAGGCAGAACAAATATCCCAAATGGAAGCACAGAAATGCAAGAAGTAATAAAAAGCAAGGAAAAGGGTAAATCTAGATATTGACTTTATAATATAAGAGCAATAATGTTTTATGGAGTATATAATATAGAGAAAATTAAAATACATAATAGCAAGAGTTCAAAGTCAGGGATGTAAATGGAATTTAAGTGTCCTAAGGTCACTGCATTATCCAAGAAGTGAAGTATTCATTTATGTGGGAATTTAGGTCAAATAATACAGCATCGTCAACACTGTGCAGGAAGTGTGCCCAGGGAGCTATGAGAGCTAGAGGAGCAGGAAATAATGTCAGCTTTATTTCCATAATTAATTAAGACTGTGGATAGCATGTGACTTGCTTTAACATGTTCACATAACTCACCCTGACCAGTATTGACAAGCTTAAGATACAACTCAAGAGATGACAAGCTTTTCATGTACATCACTATCACCTTGTCCTATTCACAGAGATGCTAATTCATGAAAGCAGCTAGGATCCAGGAAACCTGTGTTTATAACAAGCACCTCTAGGGAACCTGAGACAGGCAATGCTCAGAACACTTTGGGAAACACGGACATAAATGTCATGGAAGACGGGCGGCTGAAAGCAAGTCCTGCTTGTTACTTCATAAAGGATGTTTTCCTCTGCCATAATCCAAATTACTCCACAGGAACATTTACTTCAGGAGAAGGGCTTTTTCAAGGGGAATTTTAACTCTTCCTGAGTATTTATTTTTAATTTCATGGCCTTGAAAGGCAACTGTTGTTTTATATTAAATAGAAAAAAGAAAGTTTATTACACGATCAGAGGCTGTCTGAGGTCGGGGGGCCTTAGGTATCTCTGTGTTCAGAGTGTGCACAACGGTCCGCAGGCTCTCCTTCCCCACCGCGAGCCAAGACATGCCACACGGAGGCATTTTACATTACCTTTCTCTTCTAGTGCTTTTGCAGCATTTGTTGCAACTCTGTAAAGCAATGAAAATTAGTACATATGTAAAGCAGGGACTTAACAGGTAAACAGTACAAAATGCAACATCTGATATGAGCACCTGATGAAAGCGCTGGGGCCCTCTGGTAGGACCAGACGTACAACTTTGCATAGGACTTCAAGGGGTTCCACTGGGCCAAAATCCCTTTAATACTCTCAAGGAGTATTGGAATGGGCTTCAGTGTCCTAGATAACCACAGAGCTACACCCTCACCCTCCTTTGCATTACAACAGGCTCGCCGAGATGGCACTGGCTCTAACCACGTATGGGATGTGAGGGAAACCAGAGCTCCGCCTCCTAGCTCAGTGTTCCGCCCTCTGCTCATGGCTGCCTCTGATGACACTAAAGCCCCAAGGACTCCCCACCCCCAAGAAGCCATCTTCAGACCCCACTTACCCTGTACCCAGAGAGTGGCCCCAGAGACACACAGGCGTGGTACCACTTCTCGCCTTGGTCCACTCATAGACACAAACAGCATCTGCGGTCAGCCCCTCTTCTGTGGGCTCACCCGTAGAGTCCCCGTACCCTGGTGGTAAGGAAAGGTGGGCACAGTATCACTACCTCCAAAATGAGGGCCATCAAAAGCCCTCCTGCTTCCTGAGAAGGCTTTATATACTGCTCTTAACATACCTCTGTAGTCCACAGACAGGACATGAAAGCCACCATCGCTCAGCATCTAGATGACAAAGGAGAGGTTATCGTCTTAATTAGAAGGTGTAAACCGAAACGGTGGTGTAACCGCCTCAACACTTGCATAATCTTCATTGTGATGGTTTCCTAGGCAAAGAATAGATGAAATCTGCTGTTTGACCTCAAACATGAGAAGGTCAGACTCAAGGGGAAAGAAGGGAGGCAGGCAGCAGAGCAGGTCAGAGAGCGTGGCCACACCCTTGCTCTGCCCCTGGCTGTGTGACCTTGAGCCACCCAACGTCTGACTATGTAAACAGGATTCTGAAAAGTGAAAAACAACAGTAGCACCTTCAGGACTGTTGGAAGATGACATGAGATGAAAGTACTGAAGTACCTCGGTGCAAAGTAAATGTCCGTTTTAAGAATTCCCTTGAGAACAGAAGGTCTACACAGAGTTGTAGTAGAGGCAGTCAAATAATGGGAAGATATTTATATTAAATGTGAAAGATAAAGAGTTAATATCAATCAAAAAGAGATCACTCGATTATATGAAACCACTGCCATGCCCCATGTGGATAAATAAGGAAGGGATATGACAGCATCATTTCAAACGAAGTGAATTACAATGAAGAAGAGAGAAAAGGGGACAAAAATGTACTGCGCAGATGCCTTTAAAACTTTATTTAATCCTCACAATAGTCCCTAAAGGTAGGTATTATCCCCTTCTTATAGATAAAGAAGTTGAGCCCTGAGGGTTTAAGTAACTCGTTCGTGGTCACCCAGACAGCTAGAGGGAGAACCGAGACTCACCCCTGGGTCTGCTTCTGTCCAGACACGGCGCTCCCCCTGCCACAGCACAGACGTGGGGAGCTGAGTCTCACCAGAAATATTTCAATACAAATTCAACTAATACTGAGGAACTAAAGGAAACTTTTTAATATCTATTTAAACGACACTGCCTCCAAAACAGAGATCCAGGACACAGAGCAGTTAAGCGTCCCGGGAGGTGGGAACGTCTGTGCGACGTTGTGGTGCTCTGGACGGAAGGACCACTTGGTGAAACAACTCGAGAACAGATCTGACTCCTAAGTTAGAATTTATCTCTAGGGAAAAAGTCCAAAAAAAGAATAAACTCAATGCTTCAGGTTTTCTCTAGCAACATTATTGAGATGATTTTGGCCGGGGGGGGGACTTGTATCTAGCAACAGTGGAATAGTTAAATAAACAATTGTCTACAAATATAATGGAGAAGGATCACCTTTTAAATCTGTTACTATGGTAACTACGGAAAACCATGAAAGAATGTTTACAACATAGTACGTACATAACATAGCATTAAGTAAAAGAGCAACAACATAAAATTACATATAGATATAATCATAATCACATAAAAACTTTACATAAAGACGACGAGGTGGGATTACAAAATGAAAACAGCTGTATTGGATGACTGAAGTGATGAATAAATGGAATGAACGAGAAACAGAGAGGATGTGGAGGAAGAAAGGAAAGAAGAAGGGGAGGAAGGACAACATAATAGCAAAGACTTGGTTTTTAAGGGAAATCACCCTTCCAAAGAAGAGAACAAAGGCCTGAGGAAGTCTGGTCAGGCTGGGAGATGATGACTATGGCACGAGGTATCCAGAATCTGCCTGGAGGAAGAAGTCTTATCATACCTTCCCTTACCATGCCAACTACCACAAGGATGACCTGGCTCCTTTTCACACCTACACCTATGATTCTTTTCCTTTCTGTGCACACAGGGGCTATAATTCAGCTTTGCCGAGGGTGGGAGAGGAAAAATAGAAAAAAAAAAAAAAACACATGTTCTCATGGACGTCAGCCTCACCACCATCCCACGTAGGAAGTGCAGAGAGTGAGGTGCAGGGTGGAAAGCAAACCTAAAAATTAATAGACATTATCATCCCAGGCAGAACAGCATCTAGCCCACCACCCACCAGAGTTGGCTCCGAGAACACCGTGAGGAAAGGGAGGAGCAGACTGGAGAGGGGCTTCCTGTCTGAACAAGGGAGGGAGGACGAAGGAGGTGCTGGCCCTCCTGGGCCTGGCAGGATGCGGGGCCCCACTCAGGCTGTTACACCAGGGAAGGGCTCTGAGGTGGGAGCTGGTCTGTGGGAGGCGACAGCAGGTCCTTGGTCAAAAATTGGACAAGCAGCCTGGTCACCTGAGGGAGAGATTACCCAACTAGGGTGTGGGAGAAGATAAACAGACAGCCCTACCAACTGTGAGTCAGCCACGGCTGCATCTCCCCGCCCACACGGGGGCCGCCCCAACAAACTGCAGTCGTGTAGCAGGCTAGCGAGAAGAATGTGGCTGCCATCCCACACGCAAAACCTTCTATGGGGCTGAAGCCAGAGCCTGAAGGGACTCTAACAGCAGACATTCTATGTATTTATCCTCTACCACAAAAAAGAGGCTGTTTCTCACGGGAGTAACTTTCACATTTAATATACCCTCATAACCCTTCCCCCCCAGCCCTCAGGAAAAGCAGATAAAGAGGGTCTTGAACTTCACCTGGTGATGAAGGCAATGTATTTTTGAAAGTGTTTTGGGAGTCAGAGATGTTCGCTTCTGTTTTAAAGCCCTGTGGTCACTGCAGGAAGAGAAATCCACGTGTGGGACTTTGAGTCCCAGACTCCAAACCCACCCTTGGGAGCTCTCAGTAGATACCCATGCTGAGGGCTGAGGAAGATCTAGGGCTGTAGCCCAGAAGAGAAAAAACAGAGACATAAAACTGGTACCTTGAGGCCCCTTCAGACATACCTTTACTAGCTCAAGTCTGTGAGGAGCTGCCCTGTGGAAGAGGTTAAAACAAAGAGCAAGAATTAGGAATTACAATGACAAATTCAATAAAAATCACTATCATGCTTCTAGCATCTGATCTCATGCCTTTGTTTTTCAGGTTAGAGAAATAAATAACTGGGAGAAAGGGAAATGGTTTTTGGTGTCATAGCCCACTTGGATGTGTCAGGGGCAGTGATGGATGGCTCCCCACTGCTGTTGCATTCCTCTGCATGAGCACTGGATGCCCAGATGGTTAGTGCTTCTCAACAGAGGCATGTGATGAATTACTGATAATCCACCTCCTCTCACTGCTACACAGCAAAACTAATTTCTAAGAATACTTTTAGAAGCTAAAGGAAAATCAGCTCCAGAAAGTGGTTTTTCAGAACAAAGGAGGATACAGTCATGTTCACTAAACCAAGACCTGCCTGTACCCTGTTCACTCTGCCATTAAATACAAGATGAAGTGAGGGAGACTCACAGCGCTGGAGGTACAAGAAAGGCTTTTTCCCAAAATAACCATATCATCTACTCTCTATTAACCACGCTAATAAAGGAGAGACAAGGATGATTGAAAAGGCAGAGGATTCTTTTGAAAACCATTTGAATTTTGTCTTAGAGCCAAGTGTCTTAAACTTTAGTGAGTCATGAAGCCCTTCGAACATATGATTAAAGCTATGGACCCACTTCCCAGAAAAATGTATCCACACTTGACATTTTTAGTACAATTTTGGGAGGAGGTTCATGGACCCTCTGGGGTTTCTCTGGGTCCCAAGTCTGGAAGCACTGTTCTCAGCAAGGCTCCTATAACCTCCCACTTGGCCTCCTTTCGGCTCAGTACTGCTGCTAGCCAGCTGAGAGTTTTGCAGGGGCAGGAGGAAGCTGAGGCTGACCGCAGAGCCAGTCAATCTGGGACCACAGCAGATCCGCACAGGGGGACAGACATGAATGGGTGGGCCGGATGATCCTTTAAATACATACACTGTAACACCATGCCCAAGTTTGCACAATCAGAACAATGTTCAACAATGTTGAAAAAGGTTGAATTTTGGGGCGCCTGGGTGGCTCCATTGGTTAGGCGACTGCCTTCGGCTCAGGTCATGATCCTGGAGTCCCGGGATCGAGTCCCGCATAGGGCTTCCTGCTCCCCCGGGAGTCTGCTTCTCCCTCGGACCTTCCCCTCTCTCATGCTCTCTCTCTCAAATAAATAAATAAAAATCTTTAAAAAATAATTAAAAAAAAAGAAAGAAAAAGGTTGAATTTCATGGGAAATCTCCATCATTGTCACTCTAAAATGGACACCTTCAGAAAGCCCCTAGTGCAAAGGCAAGCCTTGAGAAAGCCATCAACACAGAAAAAGACAATGAGAAAAAGAGACATAGGCAAGGGAGCCAAGGGGCAGATTCCAGAGCTCATCACTTAGTTTGCAACATCCCTCCAGACACAGAGCTGGGTCTGTGGGTCCCTGAGGCACATCGCCCCTCCCCCAGCCCGAAGCGCTGCAGTCTCAGCTGATGATCATCACCCACCATAATGACAGGCCCACTGGGAAGCCCTGGCAGCACATCAAAGGGGCTCAGGACTTCAGGGAGACATTCTTTGTGGCAAAGCAAGGTTGGAACAACAGAGAGTGGGCTGAGGCATCAGGCTTCTAGACTAGAATCACTCAGATGGTCCCCAGTACGGACGGTCAGAATTCCAGATGATCTCTCATAGGGAGTCCATACATTTGATTAATAGGACTCGTGCTAAATCAAGGAATCCCCATGTACTTCTGTGAGAGGACCACCGATAAGGAAATTGCTCTTCCTTCTCCCCATATCTCAGGCCTGTCCCCTTTCCCGTCATCCATGGGCTCAGTTCAGCATTTCAGGCACTCTTTGGGAGTAAAGGAACCACTGCCTTCTTGGAAATCAACAACCAAATTTTGGAAGTTAGTCTCCCTTTCAGTGAAAGATCGACATGAGTCTACATACAGAATATATAGATTTTTTTTTTTTAAGAGAAGCCTGTTGCCAGAACACCCTCAAATTTCAACAAAGGAAAAAAATATATATGTGGAGGCACACTTACAGAGTCGAAAACTCTGGAAAGCTCTGCCTTTCCTTCCCCTGCCCCCCACCCCAGGCTGAAAGGCTCCCTCTCTTTTTAAACAACAACAAAAAAAATCCAGGCGAAGGCACTGACCTGTGTTCTGCGCTGCCGTGAAGATAAACAATAATTGGGTTGCCGTCATGAAGGGCTGCTTCATACCAGCCACGGTCCTTCTCCTTAGCATCTTCCCCCCGGCAGCTGGGAACCGTGTGCCTGAAGGGCAAGGAAACGTTTTAACAAATGTACAGAGAGAATTCACTTTCCTTGCCAAAGTCTGAAACCCTCCTCAGGTCAAAGACATATATTTATATAAGGTATAAATATCCATTACATATTTATATGTATGTGTGTATATATATACATATATATCTAAATTTCTATCTGAGTAATATATGCACATGGTAAAAATTAAAATATAATACCACAAACATCTTACAGTGACAAGCACTACTTCTCTACTCCCCTCCCCTGTGCACAGAAACAACCCCTTTTAACCACTGACTGTTCTAGTCCTTCTGACTCCTATATCCACTAATCTTCCAGGACTGCAATTCTTAGATGCAGTCCATTGAAATGCAGTCCATTGGATGGAAACAAGTAAAAGGCAATAGGTATTTGTCACCTGCTATTGGTTTAGCTGAAGAAACAAACTGAAAGAATTTAAAGAGAGAGCAGTTTAGATGGGAGAAAAGAACTTAAATATGAAACTAAGCTATTCTACTCAAGAAACCAGTGACCTTGTGGAGTTAAACACCTGCCCGAGCTCCAGTCCCTCCACCTGTTAAACCAGTGAGTGAGCCCTGAAGATACAAACACTTCCATATGACATGTCACAAGGAGACTTGGAGAACTGGCCACGATATAATAAATCTTCAGGCTTCTCAACCCTTTAGGGGCAGAAAGTCTGACATCAAACCCCAGGGCCTCTGGACTGAGAGGACTGGCACCCCTGCCAGCTACATAAGCCAGGGCAAGAGCAACGGACAAAAAGATTTTCAAATTCCAACACCGTTAGCTGAATTGTACTGTGCAGATTAGGAAGAAGTTATGTGAATTCATATTGGTTCCTAAACATTCTATGATCACATGTTTAAAGTCAGGGAGGAAATATAAAACAGGACACTGGGAAATTGGCAGCCAAGAACAAGAAGTAGAACCAAACAGAAAAAAATGTTGACAGTAGCATAGCAAAAAAGACAATAGCTCACAATTTTGACAATTGAGTGTCTTTTCTGTGCTGTGCCAAGCACTGTGCTAAGCAGTGAAAACCCACTAATGAAAGAAAGAAAGAAGAAAAAAAGAAAGAACGAGAGAAAAGAAAGAAGGAAGGAAGTGAAAGAAAGAAAGAAGGAAAAAAAGAAAGAGAAAGAAAAAAAGAAAGAAAGAAAGAAAAAGAAAGAGAAAGAAAAAGGAAAGGAAAGAAAAGAATAAAGGGGTGCCTGGGTGGCTCAGTTAAGCATCTGCCTCTGGCTCAGGTCATGATCTCTGGGTCCTGGGATCGAGTCCCACATCGGGCTCTCTGCTCAGTGAGGAGTCTGCTTCTCCTTCTGCCCCTCCCCCGTCTCGTTTTCTCTCTCTCTCTCTCTCACTCTCTCTCTCAAATAAATGGATAAAATCTTTAAAAAAAATTTTTTTAAAGAATGCCCACCAACAAAGTCACCTACAAAAGTTATAGTCTTGTAAAGAAGACAAACATTAACCAAATAATCGCACAAACATTTATTTAACTACAATGGGGGAAATGCCATAAAGGACAAGCACAGGTTGCCACCTGTGCCTAAAATGGGAGCTGAGGAAGGACTTCTCTGAAAATTACCACACTACCATTGGCAACTGAGACCGTAAAGACGAGTAGGCAGTTAGTTAGGCGGAAGGAGGGAGCAGAGACCTACAAGTGTTGCAGACAGAGCATATCCCGCGAGAGTGTGACTTGGGGTGCCAGGAGGCTAGCCGTTCTGCAACAGTGCAGGAACGCTGGTGTGCAATATGGCAGAAGAGTACCAGTGTCCATCAGTGCACTCACCAGATTCCCAGAATCACCCCAGGTTCAACTCTGACATACAGGTTCACCGTGTGAGGAATCTTTAACTCCGGTTTCTTTAAATCCACAAGAAATGGTGCTTTGACTAGAAAGTAGAATTCATTATCAACGCCCAGAGTCAAATTCCATGTCTTTTAATCACAATCAAAAAAAAGTAATTAGTCTCATGGTTAGCATGGTTTCTAAGTAGCAAGCTACCACACTAAATTACCAGCAAAGTATTTTATTTTATGAACGAGGACCAGCCCACAGGAAAGTTGCCAAAACAAAAACCCCTAAAGCTAGATTTTAAAAATAGCACCAGTGTGACAGGTCATCATAGGGTTTTGTTCAGTCCTTATCCTTGTCTCAAGCTAAAAACAAAGGAGACCATTCCCCTAAAAAGGTAAGGAGGTCTAGAAGAAAGTAATGAGTATTCTGCTACCTATGTCAAGCATCACTTTTTCCACTAAATAAAACCTAGTAATTAGCCATAAACCATGAAGTGGCCAGAATCAACAAACCCCTGGGGACAAGCCGGTGAGACCATTACCTGTGTGCTAGGACTGTGTGTTACACTGACTAACAGCACTCAGTAGAAAAAACATGGGAGAACAGATTCCTCACATCAGCCTCTCCCCAACCCCAGCTCCCCATTTTCTCTCCCTTTCAAGGGATATAGGTAAAAAGAAAAAGCAAAAAAGTAGAGAATACACCAAGCAATAAGGTATCCCTATTAACAGCTAATTCAAAGACTGAGCTCCTGAACTGAAACCCCACCCACAAGGCCATGTTTTTCTCTCCATCCCCCTAACAGTCTTTAGGGATTCGCGCTAGACCCCAAAGCCTCTGTTAAATGGGTTTCAGACCACTGAAGTCTAGCCACAATTTTTATAGCCGACATGCCTTTTTCATTGTCACATGGGCAACTTTAAGGGCAGTGAGTTCTTTCTTGGGGAAAATATGTATCGGCGAATTCATGATAGATACATACTTACAAAAATTAAAAAATATTAGCATATTCATCAGAGGAGGAAAAATGTGTTCTTTTAATGGTTTACTAGTAAAGCTGTTGTACAGAGAGGCAATCTTTCTTCCGAGTGTTGAACAGGAATGTGGAAAAGATCTGCAAGATATAATGAAACAAGCAAGGCATTCAAAATCACTCCAAGTTTTGTCGTGTGTTTTTTCTCTTAGCATCCAAATAAAATTTCAGAGACTAACACCGGGAATTACAGGTAACTTGGCATTTAAGCAAAATGCTTTCCAGAATTGTATGCCATTAGCACAGATCAGGACTGGGCACTAAGGGAGAACAGGAGAGGAAAGCAATAAATCAGGCCCCCAACTAGCTGCTGAGAAAGCCCTGGTATGACAGAACAGGAGTGGGGGGACATGAATGCACCGGAGTCAAGCCTGTTTCCCCATGTGCATCCCCACAGAAGACCAAGGCTGGACCCCAAATTCATCAGGAAACAGGATTCAGACTATTTAACACTTGTCACGGTTTTTTTTTATCACATCACACTTTAGTGCTGTGTGTATTAACTATTATTGGTCTAAAGCAGTGAATGAAAAACCATCAGATCCCCACTCTTCTGGCTGGGTGTTAGGGAGAAATGAGCCAGTGAAAGAAAAATCCCCACTTCTGATGTGACATCCCTGGTAAGAGGGACTGTGAGGAGCAGGGTGAGGAGTGAGGGGAGTACCTGGAGGTTGTTGCTACATCAGGGCTGGAGCCTGGTCAGGGACACAGCGGCCAGGCACATCTTGTTTATTCTACTATTTGTTCCCTGTGACACAAACCACCTGAACCAGGAGCCATCAGCGGACAAGTTACGACTTGTCCATGAGGGGTCACTAATGCCACTTCTGTCTCTAGACACATCTCTTATGAGAGTTGAATGTCTCCTACCTTGGAGAAACGGGGGGCACAGGAAGTCAGTGTCACCGCTTCCTGCTTCCGGTTTTTGTCCACCTCGTCCATTAAATAAATCCCTTCCCCTGTTTTGAGCTGTCCAAGACTGCTCAGTGTAATCAGATCATGAGTCTGGGGGACTGGAAAGCATGTTGGATGAACGGTCTCCCCCTGCCCTGATTTCTCTGCTAGACCAGAGCATTTTCGAAGATAGCTGTTATCACCTGTACTTCGCAAATGAGGAGACTGAAAGTTTAAGAAACTTGCCCCATGCCACAGAGTCAATGAATGACTGAGTCACGTGTACCCAGGTCTGTCTGACCCCAGAGTTCTATGAAGAGCTCCAGTGAGCTGTCACGATCCTGGTGAGTGCAACTTGCCATCCATGCAGGCAAAAATGAACCCCGGGAATAAGACTGGCTTCTGGCAAGATTCAGCCCTTAGAGAAAGTTGTTTCAGGATCCCCCTTCTCCCCTTCTGCACCCTTGGCCCTTCTTAGGGTCCCTTCTTCCTCCCATGTTCTTCTTCCTTCCTGCTCCTGTATTCTCAGGAGCCTTCCGACTCTAAAAGTCATCAAAGAGAGACCTCTAAGAAAAATTCTCCCTCAAGTGTTAATAACTAAAAAATCAGAGTGCTTATATGTTTGGAAGAGGCATGAAGAGAGAAGATAATGAATCTCCGATGAATTCTGCAGGGAATGGAAAAGAGACGTGGGCTAAGGGTAATGGGTAGCTCTCCAAGTGTATCAAACATAGGCAACTGCCTACACACAAAATTAGCAAGGAAAAAATGAAAATGATTTTTTTCATAATAGTTTAAAATATCCTCCATGAAGGTGGTAGGAAGGAAAGGACATTGTTGCTCCGATTTTAGAGATAAGAAATCAAAACCCAGAGAAGCCACTTTGAGCCCCAGATCAAGCCCAAATGGGCAGAACTGAACACAATCTGAATTCTTAGGCTTCCTTCCAGTTGGCTGGCTCAGGCTTTCTTTCTCCTGACTCTGAACTCACGCTACCCCGCCTGTTAGTCTCCCACTAAGTTATCTTTTGAAGGTAGCAGGGTGCTTGGGAAGCAGAGGCGGTAGAGGGAAATATGTTTCTGTTTTTAAAGAATAATTCATGTAGGACCCTTCTCTCAAATAGCTCAAGGCACTTCTGTGAGAAGCACTGAGGGAGGAGAACAGAGTGACCATATGCCCCGGAGCATCAATAATGCACAGCAGCTTCTTTTAACTAGGGGTTGTCAATTTGACTTCCTGTAGATCAGTAGAGGATCAAAAGTCACCAGTGGCTAATAGACCTTATTCGAGTGGAGGATGCAATTTCAGCCCAGTCCCTGCCAATGGCCAGCCACATCAAACAGCCACCTTGATGTCTTGGTGTTCTTTCGCATGCCCTTTGATCAGCCGTGGCTCTAACTGCACAGCATCCCGCAGGGGCCACAGAACTAACTGGATCATTCTTACCTTGGAATCTGAGTGGCTACAGGGCCAATCATTCATGTTCATGCTCAGAGGCACCAGCTTTGGGAAGCCCAGCTCTAACCCCATATGGCAAGACAGCTATTCCAAATACTAAGACATGCCACACATCCATCCTAGGTGCCCGTTCATTTGGCCAACATGTATTGATCACGGAGCACCGAAATTACACCTATGTTCTCCTCCCTTCTTTCCTCCCCACCAAATCCTCCCTTTCCTTCATATTCACTCAAGTGTTCCTTCTTTGTTAAAGCCTCTCTATACAGATCTTCCATGGTGACCTTTCCTCTCTTTTCACCTCTCCCACTCATTACAATCGGGCCTCGGTTTGACCCTTAATTGTTCTCTGGGGGTTTTCCCACTATTCGTCCTGGCTTCCCACTGAGAAGAACCACATGGCATCTAGTGCACCCTGTCTAGCACAGGACTGAGCACTGAAAGCAAAGTGTATTTGTTTCTTGAGGGAGAAGGAAGCAGTGCTTATTGGAAGCTTTGGGGAAGAGGGGAAGGGCTTCATATTCTTTTGAATTATAATTGAAAATTAATTGTGAGCTCCACGAGAGCTGGGCTTTGTGCCCAGGCCTAAACTAGTACCCAAAAGGTAGGCGATGACCAGTACTGCGGAAAGAATGAATCAGTTTATCAGCCTGCTCCTGGGGGTTTCCTTAACACTATCCAGAAATGTAAAGACTTGGGGTGAATGGGGAGCAAGGAAGAGGTAAGTAGCCCACTGGCTTCCCCCAGCTGCTTTCCTGAGCACATTTTCCATGTTTCTAGTTCAAAGAAAACCAGTGGCGAGTGAAAACTGACTCTCCCAGGCCCATCTATCTTAAGTAGCAACGACAGCAGATGAAATTTTTGCAAAATAAATAAATAGATCCCCAAGGCATTAAAAAATAATCACTGAAAACATGGTTTGATGAATTGTTCTCCTTGAGTCACACAACACATCACCATAGATCCCGTGCTACTAGCAGCTCCAGACACACAGGCAGCCCTCTGTGGATGTTTGCGGATCTAAGCTAACTTGGTTCCAAGAAACAAAAGGATTCAGGATCCTGGATCTCGATCTGTGCTTCCGCCTCAGTGTGTCTTAAATTAGAGCAGTAATTCTTGGTTCAGATGAAGAAATGTGCTTGTATTTTATTCTTTCAGGAAGCATCTCTTGAGACTTATTTTTTAGTAATTAGTAAGGCAAGTAAGGGAGGGTCCCCAACTCCCCACATCCCACTCCATTATCAACAAAGCGGGTTCTCTAAAAGCATCAAGTGCAGCTTTGATTCTCTGCCAAATAAATGTTAAATATCAGCCATCAACTCTAGAGAGAGCACAAAAGATAAAGGCAGAACATGTCAGCTTCCCGAGAACAACCATATTGAGGAGGTAAGGCCCAGGAATGTGCGGTTGAAAAGTGCGGTCAATCAGGATATTCTGACTCACGTTCAGATCCAACACAGAAGGGGGATGTGGGTCTACACTGCTGGGCCAGGCGAAAGCTGCTCTCTGCTCTTTGCCCTGAGCTACAGAAGGAAGAGAAGAGAGAAGATGGGTTTTTGTCTTCATCACTCAGACATTCCAAAGTGAAGTCGCCTGTGTCTGGCTGGGACTCTTGCCTATTTTGTACTCAGCGAGAAACAAAACAAAGGAATATAAAGAAGAAAGGTGAACAAAAGTGCCAATACCTTCCCACCCCAACAAAAACAGATACCTGAGTCTTCTGAGTCCAGGGTCTCTAACCAATACCTGACTTCAACGCAAATGAGACTGGCAATATATTGCTGGTCAATTCAGGTAGTTTAACATTACCATTTAAGCCAAGGATTTAAAATAGGAGCCAGTGGGGTCCCCGGGTGGCTCAGTTGGTTAGGTGTCTAACTCTTGATTTCCTCTCAGGTCTTGATCTCAGAGTCACGAGTTCAAGCCCAGGGTTGGGTAAGGAGTCTACTTAAAAAAAAAAAAAGGAGGAAGAAAATTTTAAAACCCTCTGATATAGACATTTCAGAGTTAAAGGATGTAAAAAATTGGCACTGGTATGGTTTCAATGCACTATACATTTTTTTAGCATTATGGAGGGATGTTCTTTAAATACATCCAAGAGAGTTCACCCTGGGGTAGCTGGCCTTGGGATCCTTTTCCACCTACACAGATAGGCCTTTGACCCAAGAGGATGCCATCTAAGAAAGAGTACAAGGTAGATTACTATTATTGGTCTTTAAAATGTGTCCTGAATTTTAGTAAAATGATGAAGGCAGGTAAGAGCTTGGTATAGGAACCTGAGCCATCTTTCTGGAAATCTCGATTTCAGAAGCCCCAAAGGGATGCAAGATCCTGAAAGATCAAACGCGAGAAGCAGAGGCTCTCTGGCCAGGGTAGGCGCCAAGGCTAAGGATAAGGCGGTCCAAAGGGCTCGCAGAGCTTTGGGGGCCTCCGAAATGCCCCGCCCGGGCCCACCGCGGGGCGCCTGATCGCCCTGCCCATCCCCCCCGGGGTTCGGGGCGGGGTGGCGGTGGGGGGGGGATGACAGGGCGCTGGGCCGCGGGCCACGAGCACTCACCGCAGGTTCCGCACCACCATGTCCCACCAGGACGCCACACAGTCCTGCGTGTCCATCTCCATCCCGCGCCGTGTGGCGAGCCGCCACCGGGGAGCCGCGGCCGGGAGCCTGAGCCGCCCCCGCGGACACCGGGCCCGCCCTCCTCCCCCGCGCGGGGCCCTGCGGGCGGCGGGCTGCACCCGGGCTTCGCCGCCCCCCACCAGCCCCCGGAGGAGCCAGTTTCCCACGCTTGTGGCTAGCTGCGCACGATATTCTTTTCTACTTTATTTTATACCTGTGTGTATGTGTGTGCGCGTCCCGCGCGATGAACTGAAATAGATTTCTTACTGTGCTAGTAATAACACAGAAGTCTGGTATCACAGCCTCAGAAGATCTGCGTGAGGGATATAAGCTTTCCTCTACTTTGACCCAGCTTCTTTTTTTTTTTCTTTTGTCCTTTCTATTTTTCCCTTTTTCTGAAGCTTACCCATCTCCAGCACCCACCCTCCCCTCTCTCTCCCCCCCCACCCCGCCCTTGCCGTTGAGTAATGGTTTATCCGTCCACAGGGTTATGAACTACACAATTAACACCAAAATTAACACCTTTTTGGCATTTGGTTTATTTAGCAACATCCAACAGAACCCCACCTTGTATCAAAAAGTTCACACCTCGAAAGGTTTGGCCTGGATACAGGCTTACATAACGCATCCTCACCCAGGGGAGCCACACAGCAAAGTATGAGTGCACAGGTGGAAGGAAGGCAATGAGGTCTCCGTCAGATACAATTTGATGCCAGCATCCAGACTTCATCTTGGAGGCAAGGTGCAACCTCTCCAAGAGGGAATAATGTGGTTTTTTGTGGTGGCTGTGCTCTGGGTCAACAGGTAGGAGGGAGGACTGCCAAGCCACAGAAAGTGCCTAGGGACCCACCTGCTTGGGGCTGGTAGGCCAGTCTGGAGAAAAGCACCCACACCTTTCAAGAAAGGGCAGTTCTCTTCAAGGACCACGCCATTTCCTAAAACTAGTCAGACAAGGGTGAATCTCATTCACTGCCTCTTGTAATCGTTCTGGGGATGTCAATTTTCTGATTCATATCAAGCTAGAAGAGGAATCACATCTGAAGGACACAAGGGAACTGAGCCTGCCTGATGAGCCAGCAGCAGGTGGGTTTTTTCAGGGCCACACCCTGCATGATGAGGAAGGTTAAGGTCCCACTCAAGCTGGTGTAAGATTCCACCCAGGAGGTGTTCACAAGATGGGTCTGGAATCCCATAGAACTTGTTTAGGGAAGCTCCGGAGGAGACCCTGGGCCATGCCATGTGGAGATGGAGTGATCAGAGCTGGGGAGCAGTGGGAGTGGACTAAGCAGCAGCTGCATTGGGTCCCAGATTCTATCTCCACTTGTTCATTCAGGTGGATAGAATCAAACATTCAAACGAAATGTTTGAAACGCTCAGCAAAATCTCTGAAGTTGGAAATCACGATGCCCCCCCCCCTTTTCTTTAAAGACTCTACATTCGGGCACCTGGGTGGCTCAGTTGGTTAAGCGGCTGCCTTCAGCTCAGGTCATGATCTCAGGGTCCTGGGATGGTGTCCTGAATCGGGCTCCCTGCTCAGTGGGGTGTCTGTTTCTCCTTCTCCTTCTGCCTCGCCCACTGCTTGTGTTCTCTCTGTCTCTCTCAAATGAATAAATAAAATCTTAAAAAATAAAAATAAAATAAAAGACTCTATAAATTAGGAACTCTAGGAGAAAACTCTCCCCAACATTAATCGCCCTTTTTCAAATAACACATCCTGGAAATCAGAGAGCAGTCTCTGATTTGACTTGGCAGAATCTAAAACACAAACGATTCATTCATTTACTCAGCATCTATTTACTGAGCAACTTTTAAGGTGCCAACTACCACGTTGGGTACAAAGCAGCATCCTGCCTGGTAAAGAGATTTAATCTCAGGAGAAATCAGGAGAACACAGATTAGGAATTGAAGCGTGCTCTAAGGGCAGAAATCAGGTCAGGGGGTCACAGGGCCTGGATGTGGGGAGAGGAAGGAACATTTTAGGGTAATGGAAATAGTCTATATTTTGTGTGGTAGTGGTTATAAGACTATAAACTTTCACCAAAATTCATAGAACTGGAAAACTTCCAAGTGTGAATTTGACTGAATATAAATTATACCTCAACATACCTGGCTTTTGGAAAAGTGAGCTAAGAAATGTACGAATAAATTATATAAACAGGGCGCCTGGGTGGCTCAGTTGGTTAAGCGACTGCCTTCGGCTCAGGTCATGATCCTGGAGTCCCGGGATCGAGTCCCACATCGGGCTCCCTGCTCAGCAGGGAGTCTGCTTCTCCCTCTGACCCTCTTCCCTCTCGTGCTCTCTATCTCTCATTCTCTCTCTCAAATAAATAAAATCTTTTAAAAAAATTACATAAACAAACATGTCTTACATGATTTTGTAGAAATGTCAAGACAAAGCTATGGGTACAAATACTTTGGAATCCAATAGTTGGGGGTTATTTGTACTTCTAGTAGAAAAAGAAATCTGTTAGGGATAGATTAATTCTACCACCAAGAAATTATTCTGGAGGGGTGCTTGGCAGGCTCAGTTGGAAGAGCATACAACTCTTGATCTCGGGGTCGTGAGTTCGAGCCCCATGGGGGGTGTAGAGATTACTTAAATAAAAACTTAAGAAAAAAGAGTTATTCTGGAAAAAAAGGAATGGGAGATAACACTGTCTCTCGGCTGCCACATAGCCATGAAAGCAAACTACTAATAATAAGGCATTTGAGGAGCAAAGAAGTAGCAAACAACAAATCACCAATTTTATATGATTTAAAGAAAATTTTATCTTGAAAGCAAAGAATTCATCCCCCTTGCATTTTCTTTTTTTTTTTAATTACAGCTTTATTGAGACATAACTTACATACCATAAAATTCACCCTTTGAAGTGTACAATGTGTGGTTTTAGTATATTCACGGAGTTACATATCTATCACCACATTTTAATTTTAGAATGTTTTCATCACTCCAAAAGGAAACCCCATACTCTTTGCTGGGTCATATGGTAATTTTGTGTTTAATTTTTTGAGGAACTTCTAAACTCTTTTCCAAAGTGGCTACTCCATGGTTCAAGCTCACCATCATGAGTGCCTCACATATCCCCTTGCTCACCTTCTTCACCCCTCCTCCACTTCCCATATGCAAATTAGAGAATTACAAAAACAAACAAACTGATGCTTGTGAGGTTGAAATGAAACAGTCAAAAAAAAAAAAAAGAAACAGTCAAGGGAAGTCTGGGGACAGTCCCAGGTGATAGACAGTGAGTGAGATGAGTCACTCAGAGCATTTCTTTTTCTATGCTGTTAAAGTTTTGTGTTGTCTTTGCCTATATCAGATCTAATTTAAGGACTGATTTATTATAGTTACCAGAGTGGGTGGTTATTCTCGGGTTGAACTTGAGAGTGTTAATATGAGCTTCCTTTTAGCCAAAGGGGTGATTTCTTTGAGAAGAGAGAGTGATAGGAGAGCTGAAACTGGAAGTGAAGGGCTTGAGTGCCTTCTGTCTTCCCAAGAACCCTGCACATTCCCAGACGGGGCCCACAGGCTCCCTTGTTCCATGGCGAGAGATGGGACTCTGGTTTTCCCTGTATCTGTGGAAGCACTAAGCCAGGATTGAAGCCCAGCGGTTAAAACAATTCCTCCTTCTCTGGATGCTCTACTTCAAATTCCTCCTGCTATTCCTTAAAAGTGACTTGTTCTGCAGGCTTCCTTCCTAGCCCTGCTTCTCTTCTTGTCTTATACCAGTGTTTCCAAAACCACATGCAACTATTTGGGAAGCTTTGGGCTCAACACAATAAAATATATTCCTTTGGCCAGAATCTCAGGTCTCAAAATCGTTACTTGGTCAACATTCTTTGAGAATCTCAAGAAGAAGGTATAGAATGCAGCTTCTCTTTAAATTCATCTTGGGGCGCCTGGGTGGTTCAGTCGTTAAGCGTCTGCCTTTGGCTCAGGTCATGATCCCAGGGTCCTGGGATGGAGCCCAGCATTGGGCTCCCTGCTCAGCGGGGAGCCTGCTTCTCACTCCCCCTGCTTGTGTTCCCTCTCTTGCGGCCTCTCTCTCTGTCAAATAAATAAATAAAATCTTAAAAAAAAAAATAATCTCTTCTCCTTCTCACAAACCTGCCCTGTCTTGAAGAACAGCTCGTCACACACCAGGTTTCCCAAGCCACAGATTTGGGATTCACCCTGGATTCTTCTGCTTCCCTTAAGCCTAGAATTCCCTCTAGATAGAATGAAGATTATTCCTTGTTATAATATTCATTCATTTAACAAATAATGAGCTCATTTTAGATAGTATCTGGCTTGGGAAGCTTACACTTTAATCGCAAGGACAGGACCCACACCAAGGAAAAGCTGAATAACAACCTGGAGCTTTATCACTAGGTAATAAATAAATATCCATTACAGATAATATTGTGGGGCAGGCTCAGGGAGCAACATCTCTGTGGGCTGAAGAGGTCAGGCAAGGATTCCGGAAATACTGTTCTGTTGCTTGGAAACAGCTTTCGTAATGGGAGGTAATTTAAAATGGCCATCCAAAAGGCCTCGGAGGATGTTAAAACTGGAAGAAATATAAGCAATCATTTGCCGATACTCTCATTTTACATAGAGGAAACTGAGACACCCCCCAGAGACCAAATGATAGATGTTAAGCTGCATTCATTATTTATTTATTTTTTTAAGATTTTATTTATTTATTTGAGACAGAGAGAATGAGAGAGAGGGAGAGAGAGCACATGAGAGGGGGGAGGGTCAGAGGGAGAAGCAGACTCTCTGCCGAGCAGGGAGCCCAATGTGGGACTCGATCCAGGGACTCCAGGATCATGAGCCGAAGGCAGTCGCTTAACCAACTGAGCCACCCAGGTGCCCTCATTCAGTATTTATTGAGTGCCCACTGCATGCAGAGGTGTAGGCGAGGCTACTGCACTCATTCAAAACAGCAGGCAAGATGAGAGTCATTCTCAAAGGGCACGTGGTATCTGGCGAGAAACTAACCTATGTCAAAGCAGGGATGG